TTTCTTTTCTTTTCTTTTCTTTTCTTTTTTTCCTTCTCTTCTCTTTTCTTTTTTCTTTTGTTTTCATTTGTTTGCTTTGCTTTTCGTTTTGTTTCTCTTTTTCCTTTTTTCCTTTCTCTTTTCTTTCTTTTCTCTTTCTTTCCTTTGTCTTCTTTCTTTTCTCTCTCCTTCCTTCCTTCCTTCCTTCCTTCCTTCCTTCCTTCCTTCCTTCCTTCCTTCCTTCCTTTCTTTCTTTCTTTCTTTCTTTCTTTCTTTCTTCCATCATTGAATCTCTTTGTGCTGTTTCAGGTTCAAAGACAAATGACAAGCCACTTGTACCTTCACGGCGTTCAGGTAGGGTGGTGGGGGTATCACTGTGGTCTCAGGAGGTGTGTGCAGGAGCAGAGCAGAGGAGGAGCCTGCAGAAGCTTCACAGAGGAGAGGACATTTGACCCGAGTCTTGGTGGTGAGTTTCAGGCAGCCAGGGGATGGGCCCTTAAAAGGAGAAAAGCAAAGAGAGCTGTGTTGGCAATAAGAGCAGCAGATGAGCTGGTAATGTGGTCGGGCTTAAGGCTGTGAATGCCAGAGTCAGGAATCTGAACTTTATCTTGTAGACAGTGGGTAACACTGTGAACTAACTTGCACACACTGGCGCCACAGGTGGAAGGTGAGGGGTGAGGCCCGTGAGAAGGACGTTTTAATAATTAAAGTGAGCAATATAGACTCAAACGAGGGCCAAAGCGAGAGCATGGTAGAGACAGAATCTTCAAGACTTTCTTACAGGTGAGAAAGAAATCTGGAGTCTGGGAGAATTCAAGGCTTTTGTGAATATTGGGCCAAATGGATCTGTAATGATGACCAAAGGGAAGAGATGGATTAAGGGGACAGCAAGTCACTTCTTTAAGCTACTTCTTTGGCAACAGGCAAGCTATCAGATCAGAACTCTGGAATGGAGATCTAGTACCCAGGGCAGGAGTTAGATCTGGAGATGGAAATGGGAGAGGCATTAATAAGAAGGTCAGAGTTGATGGCAAGCTTTGCCCTCTCTGTTGGGAGTTTCACTTTATATTTCCTTCATTCCCTAACTGACACCTATTAAGTACTGAATATAAACCAGGCTCTTAGGTAAGCACCGTGGCTTTATTACTATCCCCATCTTTCATCTGAAATGGACACTTCAGAGGGTAGGGGGTTAACCCATCATGCCATTAGTGAGTGCTGATCCAGACTAGGCACAGAGCTGTTGGACTCCAGATTCTGTGTCCTAACCAAACCATGGTTCAACAAGGCTCCCAAGGGACTCCAGTTAAGTTAAAATCTATTTTTAGAGGAGCACCTGGGTGGTTCAGTCCATTAAGCATCTGACTTCAGCTCAGGTCATGGTCTCGCAGTTCACCAGTTCGAGCACCACATCAGGCTCTGTGCTGACAGCTCAGAGCCTGGAGCTGCTTCCGGTCCTGTGTCTTCCTCTCTCTCTGCCCCTCCCCCACTCACACCGTCTCTCTCTCAAAAATAAACATTAAAAGAAATTTTTTTAAAGATTCTCTCTCCCTCTCTCTCTGCCCTACCTCGTTCACTCTCTCTCCCCCCCAAATAAATAAACATTAAAAAAATCCATTTTTAGGTTTCTGAGAGGATCACTGTTGATGTCCAAGCTGCGTAATCTGTAGGCATACCCCTCGGTGCATCCTGAGGGAGCAGAAGTTCCTTTCGTGCCCGCTGACCTCACCCTGGGACATGGCACATGTCCGTGTTCTATCGCAGTAGTCTCCTGTGATCCTTAGCAGCTACCGTGAGAGACTGTGTCATGGCCATTCGCTCTTTACATTTGCTCTGTCCCTGCTGTGTGGTGGGCCCTGGCCTGGAGATCTCCATCATGGGTTCACTTGCTGCCTCATGTTCTGCCGGCCCCGTGTGAGGCCTGTGTCATTTAGGGTTTCCGTCCCCGGCTCTTGGAAAGGGCAGGCTCGAGTGTCCTTTGTGTGGGGAGACTGTGCTTTCCAGCCGTGCTCTGTGCAATCTCAGTGCAGGTGCACAGGCCCTTCCGCACTTGCTCTGCAGGCCTGGGGGTGGGGATGGAGGGGAGCGGCCAATGGGGTCTTCTGTGCAGCCCACTCACTTCCCGAAAGTTGTGCTGTTGACTGTTTTGCAGGGGACAAGATTTGTTTTGTTCATAGTAATCTCAGGCCATGGATTTTATTCAGTATTTCTTGTTCAATTACCATTTTGGCTTCAGATTATCTCCATCATCATATCGAATCAGCCTTCTGAAGATGCCCCAAAGATTACCTAATGTGTCTCTTGAAAAATCCTCATGGGATATGTATGTAGTTTTAAAAGAGAAAGTTAACATCAGACTTCTAAGGTCCCTTGCCTTCAGTGGGTCCTGAAGCATTTTCAGCTGGAGGCATTGGTGATAAGAAAATTGGGTTGGCAAACAGGTGTCAGGACCAGAAAACAGGCTGCTCAGGACTGCTGGAAGGAAGCAGATTGGGGGCTCGTAGCTCCCTGGATCTGATGCCTTTGTTAATCCCCTGTCTGCTTTCATTTCTGCTTAGTCACAGCTACTGCAGGCAGGACTTAAATTAACGCCTCAGTCAAAGCAAGCAGGCTTCATGGAACATCTGTCCTCTGTGAGGCACGGTCTCAGGGTGCATGTGGCGCATTGAGAAAGAACTGCCCCCATTTAGCACCTGGACTTGAGAATCATTTCGTCTGCAGGCAAAACGGGGTGACCTTGAACAAGTCATTTGATCCTTTGAGCCACAGTCTTTCATCTATGAAACAGAAATTGGAGTTCCTACCACTTATTATTTGATCTAATCAGAAAGAGCTTTGGGGCACAATAAGTGATAAAAGCTAGGCATGAAGAACTTCCCGGAGCCTTTCCAACATGTGAGTGTATCCATGTATGTTTCCAGGACGTGCATACATAAGACATGTATGCACATGTGCATACGGAAGTATCCTAGAAAGATCCACAAGAAATTACTGGACTCTGGGGAATGAGGCACTTTATATCGTTTCTTTTGGTAACACTGAGATTTTTACCATTTGTGTATTCTAATTTTGAAAATCAGAATTAGAGTATCTGCTTTGTATGGTGTTTGCTGAAGAACAAATGAGATCAAGATCATGGGGATGCCCAGATGCTTCGCGAGCGGTGGGTTGCTTTTGGCTCCCTGGGCCCCGGGGTCCAACATGCACACTCCGCTATGCACAGGCTCTGTGCACCTTTCTGCAACTGCACCGACTTCTGATCTTCACGGAATAGGAGGGGTGAGAAATGGGAATATGTGGATTCCCTGAGTGCCTAGCCGACTGAGTTTTCTGCTTATGAAATGGAAGAGTCTTTTCATTCCAAGCCTCACTGAACATGTCTCATAAGTTCAAATCCAGAGGGACCTGGTGGCCTCGTAATGGAAAGCCAGGTTTCAGTGGAGTCCCTGGGGAGGGGTGAGGCCTCTCCAGCGGACGCTGTGGCACGCTGCCCGCATCCCTCCTCAGGCCCGAGTCACTCGTTCCTCAGGCTGCCAGCCATGCTGGGAGCCCACAGCAATTGGCCAGGTCCCTTTCTGGAGTCCACTGTGTCTGAGGGAGCTGCTGATCGAGGTCACACCTCCTGCAGGGGTCCCCCACTCTCGGTAGTGGTCAGTGCATGGGTGCGATGGTGCGATGCACGGCCCCTCCTCCGAGGCCCACGGCCCTGCAGTGCCAGCGCTGCCCGTGGGATGGACCGAGGTCTCTGTTGTCCTGCAGGGCAGTGCGGGGCGGCTCTCTCTGTGCCCAGCCCTCCTCCCCCGCAGAGTTGCTCCCGAGAGCGCCTCCTGCAGACACCACTGTGTCTCAGAGTCTTCTTCCTAGGGACCTTATGACCGCTCAGAGCTAGGTGACAGAAGCTGACCGGACAGCCCCATCCCGCTCTCCTGATTTGTAGCACCTGTGTGACCCACTCATCATGATGCTGGGATTAGAGCGGGCACCTGTGATGGCCTACTCTCCCCTCAAGGCACCGTTGGGAGTGCAGATGGGTGCAGATGGCCACGGACCCCTAGCAGACCTGTCCTGGCCCCCGTGGACCGACTCGGTCCTCTCCGATGGCAGCAACGGGGGGACTAGACACCCGGAGGCGGGGATCCTGGCAGCTTGCCCTCCAGAGTTCTTGCAGCACGACCGGCAGGCACCAGGGGGTCATGAAGAGCCACTTGCGTCCTTCCATGGCCACTTGAGCAGTAGATGGACAGGAAGGTCCCGCATCCGTGGAGCTCTCCCGCCCAGAACCCAGCGCCTTCCTCCTCTGCTGCCCAAGGCCTCCCTGGGGGCTTCCTTTCTCTGCCCCCAAATCAAATCCCTCCTGAAATTCACCCCAAGACACCCTTCTCTCTTGAGTGTGTGCCCAAGTCGGGGCTGGCCTGTGTCCTCTCTTCCATCATGCCTGGGCCTCTGGGTACCTTGTGACTTGGCCACATTTTCCTCATCACACAAACCATAGTTGGGTCATTGTACCCGTTTAAGGCTCCCTACATCTGCGAGCAGAGGCAACGTACAGAGCGTCTGATGCCAACTTGGGTTCCGTCTGTCACCAAATGCACCTGCCAGTGTTGCGTATCTAAGCCCACATCTCACAGCAGCGCATTTTTCTCTCTTTGGACCACTCACCCGCCTGCCAGGAGGGTCTCCGCAAATTCCTCATCTCCCTGCGAGAGGAGACCCTCCGTCGGCCCCCATCTGCTGTGGGGTGCTGTGCAGCGGCCTGGGACTGAGACTTGGACGTGGGTCCCACTGGCTTATCACAGACCTTCCAGGTCAGTGCCCTCCTCCTCCTCATTAGTTGTTAATATTACTATTAATATTGTCATTATTATTATTATTCTTTTGCTATGAATGTGCAAGACAGAGACTTGGCGGATCTCAGTGTCTTTCCCACACAGAGAGGCAGGGAGCCAAACCCTCCTTTCCCTGGAAGCGTGAGCCCCTCAGCTGTTCTCCGAGCCCCAGCCTCTGGTCTGTCCCGCCCACAGGGGAGCTTCTACGCGCCCTCGGAGAACTGCATGCAGCGCGCACACAAGTGGCACCGGCAGCTCTGCTTCCTGCTCCTGCACGCCTACCGGGGGCTCCGCGCCTACTTCCTGGGCATCATGAGGGACGTCCCCGAGCTGCCGCACGCGGAGCTGGGTAAGGGGCCGGGCTGGGGCCGGGCTTGGGAAAGCGGCATGTTCTCTGAGCGTCCCGGTGGCAAATGCTGCTGCAGGTGTGTGTCTGTGTGTCACCTTCTTCTGGCAGGAGGGAGTCTTGGACGTGCACCTGAGGGAAGATAAGGCAGGGGCCCCTCTCCGTTCACCCACTGGGCACTTATTGGACACCTGCTGCATGCACTGGGCACTACTGGACACAATGTCGAGTTGCTTGCTAAGGGAAAATGCCAGTTTATAGCCTTTTTAAAAAATTAGGCTGCAAAAAAAAAAAAAAAAAAAAAAATTAGGCTGCAGTTACAGGGTTGCAATTTACGAGAGTGGAAAACAACCCAAAAAAGAACACATATATTATATACATAATAAATATACTTTATATATAACATAATGTAATTTTCAATAATAATTTTACAATGTTTACATATTTTATATAAAATATAAGATGTATTTTAATAGTTTAATAATATTTTAGTATGTTTTTATATTTTATATAAAATATAACATTTTATGTAGAATATATATTTTATATTTTTTTATATTTTTATGTATAACATAAATAATATATTTTATGTATGCTTTATATGTAATATAGATATCTAAGTATTTATATACTTGTATATAAATATATATGACATATTTTTTAACCTGGATGATTATGGAAACCTCTCAGCAGCCATCGTCTTTGGTTTTCTGGGGATGAATTGCTTTGTGCACCTCATGGTGCACAACATGGATATCATTGGGCCTGAATCCCTCTCTGTTGACAGTGGAACTGAGATCAGAGAGGTGCAGTGGCTGCTCAGGGTCACACACAGCAGTGCACCGCAGGACCAAGACGAGAGCACAGAGCTGCTGCGGTGACTCCCGGGGCAGGGCCCCTTCCACCCTCCCACTCACTGACAGCGGGTGACAGCGTGATTCTGCTGTCTGTCCTCTGCCGATGACCGTTTGCTTCCAGAACAGAGGCCAGATCCTTAGCCTGGTTCAAGGTTAAGAGCAGGCCTGCCGGGCACCTCAGCTTCCCCACTCACACCCGAGACACCTGCTGAGACAGTCTTGACTTTGGCGTTATTCACGGCCTCATACATAGTCTATTACTGCATCGCACACACCACATGACAGTGATATCCTACTTGCATGTTTTTCTTCCCCAGTAGATGCGGGGTCTTTGAGAGCAGAGGCCCCTCAGACCCCTCGTACACAGTGCCCCGCATGCAGGGCGGTTGATGAATGGTGGGTGCCATCTTGCCATCTGGACTTTTCAGCTCTAACCCTCCAGACGAGTCAGGCACGACTCTGAATCAGGCAGTAGCAAAGTTGAATTTTTTTTTTTTCCGGTTTAGATGATCTGCATACCATAAAAGCATGCACCGAATCAGAGCCAGTTTATACAACCCAAAGGGAAAGTGGAGATTGTACACTGAAAGCTGACTTGCTGTTTTAACTTTTTACCCAAAGGAACTGGGTTTATTTGCTCATTCACTCACCATAATGTTTTTATCAAGCGTCTGCTATGTGCCAGATGCCCCTGACACAGTCATGTTCAATATGACAGAAGTCCTCTGTGCCTGGTGGGACTCGCAGACCTGAGGAAGGTGCTGGGGGCTAAGGCACGTGCTTATCAGGACATCAGTGAGGATCCGGAGGTACTGACGGATGGGTCCCACTCATCCGGGCAGCAGTGCTTTAAGGGGACCCAGTGCTGTGGCCAAGTACAAACCCCTGACCGTGTCATAGAACGGGGGAAGAGTCCAAAGACAGGCAGATGCAGACATTAAATCACCACTGGCCAGAGGCCAGAGGTTCCTGCTGATAAGAGGTGAGACCAGCGGCCCCTCCGTGGATGGGAGGGAAGGATGTGATGATTGTCAATGTCAGAGTGAGGGGAGGTGGGCTCAGCTCTGCCATCCACTTCTCTGTGCTTCCCAGAATTCCCCTGTATGATGGAGTCCAAACCCGAGCCCACATGTGGTTGGAGGCCCACACCTGCTTGCATAGATCTGCAAGAGCCCAGAAGAGTGTGGGATCGCTTTGAACCCCACAAAGTGCTGTGTGAATGTGGGGGCTTCTGTTCCTCAGAAAAGCATCCCTGAGATGCTGTGGACCTTCATCTAGTATGAGGTCCCCAGGCTCCAAATCCGGTTTCTCCTTTTTATAAATATGCCCTCAGGAGATTGAAGGAGAGACCTCAGCTACATGTTTCTTTCTGTGACTTGATTGCCAACTTGAACATATGCTTTGTATTGTAGTTAGCAACTGCAACATTTCAGCGTGCGGCCATTTTATTCTGCGTCTTTTTTTTTTCTTCCTAGAGTCCCTTGCTGTGGAGGAAACGCTCTCTCAGCTGTGCTCCGAGCTGCAGGTAATTAGAAAATGGATCCTGTGGGCCCGAAGGGCAGTCGTGTCGCAGGGCAACACGGGTGCTGGCTTGATGTAGAATTCGGAGATGAAAACACGGGGCATGTAGGCTCCCTCTAGACCGGCAACTCTTCCACCCCATCGCCCTTTGTTCTAAGGGTCCACTCGACCTCTAGCTCTCTGCTGGAGGCTTTGGGGAAAAAAGAAACCTGTTAACAGGTGTCTGTCCCTGGAGCCAAGACTACATTTATTTGTCGATGACTCATCCATTTAACAAAATATGTTACGGACCAACCATGTGCTTCTCCTGGAGGGCGACGGAGCCCTTGCACCTGCGCCCACATGGCCTCAGCCACGGCGAGAGGCTGGCAGCACGATGATGCTGGTAATGGAAACAGGTGCATTCGCCGAGGGTTCATCGCGTGTGCTTGAAGACTACGTGCTGGTTGTAGGCACATGGCTAATGCAGGCTACTGTTATTTGTGGTCTCTGGGATACTTCCACATCCCGTGGCATTGGGTGGTTCGGGTGCGTACTGCACGCCATCCTTATAGAGCGAGAGGCAAATTAAGATGGAAGTGAGGCTGGCAGCTCGGGGTTGGTGACACTTTAGGCAGCGCTAGAAGCTGGACTCCAAAGACCATCTCATTACAAAGTGATACCCCTGTCTCTCAAACCTGTGTTTTAAACCCTGTGCAGTAGAAACACACTTGGGCCTTTAACAATGTACGTTTGCCTGGGTGCAGCCAGAACTCGTTGAGACAGAATATCGGGGAGTGGAGCTCAGGCATCTGTATTCATTAAAAGCTCCTCAGGTTGATCAAAACCACAATGCGATATCACCTCACTCCTCTTAGAGTGGCTATTACCGAAAAGACAAGAGATGTCAAGTGCTGTCAAGGATGCAGAGGGAAGGGAACCCTCGGGCACTGTTGGGGGGGAGGGTAACAACAGGAGCCGGCACCGTGGGAAACACCGTGAGGTTCTTCAAACATTTAAAATGACAACTGTCACAGGATCCCACAGTTTAACTACCAAGTCTGCATCTGAGGATGTAATCACTGTCCTGAAGAGATGTCCGCACCCCGGTGTCCACTGCAGACACCCTGGGTGGCCACATGTGGATGAATGGATAAAGAAAACGTGGTCTTTATATACAGTGGAATACTCTTCAGCCGAAAGAAGAAGGAAGTCCTGCCATTTGTGACAATGTGGACGAATCTTTTGTAAGTGTATTTATTTATTTAGAGAGAGAATCCCAAGCAGGCTCCACACCGACAGCATAGAGCCTAATGCAGGGCTCAAATTCACAAACTGTGAGATCATGACCTGATCTGAAACCAAGAGTTGGCCGCTCAACCGACTGAGCAATTCAGGTGCCCCACAACGCGGATGAATCTCGAGGGCATCCTGCTAAGTGCGATAAGTCAGACGGAGAAAGACTGAGAATGTGTGATCTCACTTACATGTGAAATGTAAAACAAAAACCTAAGCCATGGGAACGGAGCACAGCTCGGTGGTGGCCAGAGGAAGAGGGAGATGGGGGAAGGTGGCCAAGAGGTACAGACTTCCCAGTTAGAGGACGAGTAAGTTCTGGGAGTGTAATACACAGTGTGGAGACCGAAGGTGACGCTGTGCTGTGTATTTGAAAGTTACTACGAGTGTAGATCTTAAGAGTTCTCATCAATGAGGAGAAGCACGGTATGCAAGTGAAGTGATGGGTGTGTGAACTAACCTGATTGTGGTGATCATTTCACACTGTATACATTTACCAAACCGTGATGTGGGACACCTGACATGTACGCAATGTTATATGTCACTTCTGTCTCAGTAAAACTGGAAGAAAAGAAATTAGAAGGGAATGGCTTCCCAGATGAGTCTCCGTGCCACCAGGAAGGACTGAGAGCCCCTGGTCTGCAGCACGTTGTAAAGTCAGCAAACCTCAGTGTTCCGGTGGTAAGGCAGAGCACAGAGGTGGTACCGCATGCTGGGTGCGGAAGGGTCTAGAATGGAGGGGCCGTTTGCTGTGAGCCCTGAGGAGAGGTGGGGCTTAGCTGTCAGGGTAATCAAGGAGTCACATTGCAGGCACTGCTCCTGATACAAGTGGAGATATGTGAGGGACACAAGAAGCCGGCTTAGAGACTGTGGAAGGGAAAGATACGGCCGGCAAAGGACCTGGATGCCATCACGAGGAGCGTACATTCCCTAAACATGGAGCTGATGAAGGTGGTGCACCAGAGGGATGGCAAAGCAGTCCAATGGGTGGAAGAAGCAGGGGCTGCCACTCTCCCCTCTTCCCCTGAGGAAATCCAGGGCAGCATCGCCTTGGAAAGGTCCACAGGCGTCCAGGTTCAAGTCCGGGCTCCAGACTTTCCTCACATCAGCTGTGCAACCCTGCACCTACAGTTTAGGATTTCTGTGAGCTTCGGGTTCCTCATCTGTGTCTCGTGGTTGTGAGGAGCTCAGAACTGGGAGAGAGCTCACAAGAGGACCCTGCGAGTGCCCGGCTCATGGCTCTGCTGTGCGGAGAAAACTGGGGGCCTCAGGCTCCATCCCTTGCAGCCTGGATGTGGCTCAGGGTCCCAAGGGGACACTGGTGCAGCCTCCAAATGACTGAACATTTAGGTGTAGGGGTTTGGGAAACGCAGCCGTGCGCAGCTGTCCGTCACCCCACTGACCATCTCTGCTGCCGGTGCCACCGTGGTGTGCTGTCAGAGCTGGGGTGTCCGGCGCATTCTCTGCTGATGGCCGTGCCCGTGGCTCAGGTTCCCAGACAACCAGCGATCACCGAGTGTGCGCTCGGAGCCAGGCGCAGGCTAAGCGCTTGTGGAATGCAGTCTCCTCCTGTAACCGCTGAGATGCTGCCTTAAAAAAAAAAAAAAGTTTATATATTTATTTTGTGAGAGACAGAGAGAGAGGAGGTGAGGAGGGGCAGAGAGAGAATCCCAAGCAGAGGCTCCGAGCTGTCAGCACAGCAGGGCTCAAACTCACAAACTGTGAGATCATGACCTGAGCTGAAATCCAGAGTCGGACACTTAACTCACTGAGCCACCCAGGCGCCCGGAGACTTTGCCTTTATAGAAGCACGTGGCCAGGGACCCCTGTTAGTGGTGGAGGGCGACGGGCGAAGGCTCCCGGACTGTATGGTGCTCAGCCCTCAGCCTCAGGGTTACCTCGCTCGGTGGTGGAGGTGGGGGTTAGTGACGGGGAGTCATGGCATATGCTGTGAATGTGGTCACATCAGAGCTGGGGACACCTGTCTCTGAGTTCCACACCTACTAACCGTGTGACTTTAGACAAGTTGCTTAAACTTTATGGACCTTGATTTTCTTATCTGTGAAGTGGAGATAAAATCATCTGGTTTTTATTAACCCCTTTCCCTCCGAGTCAGCACTCGCAGGCGGGCCAGCTGCGGGCGGCTACTTTACGTGCGCCCTGTGCGTTTCCTCATGTAATGGATGCAGCAGGTCTCCAGCCTGAGCAATGCTCGTATTCTCAGGGGATGACGCATCAGGGCTCAGCTCGCAGAGGACGGGTTGTCTGCCCAGAGTCACAGCACTGGACAGTCCAGGGCCAGGCTCTGGCCACCGAGGCACTGGAGACCCCAGTGTCCCCACCGCGATGCCCTCCTGGGAAGCAGAATCGTCGCTTGCGCACAGCGAAGGTGGGGTCTGTGAAGCATCCCCGTGCGGCCCTTGCGGGGCAGCGAATGCAGGAAAAGCTAACCGCCGTGTTGGCTACAGTCATCGCCACTATCTGGCTTGTCACTTCCCCGGCCATAAAGTAGGTTCCGGGGCCACACGTGCCCGGCAGCGAATTCGGTTAAAAGGCCTTGCTCCCCTTGTCTCCATGACCACAAAGGGCCAGTGTTCCTGCGACCCCCCCAGGAAAGTTGGCTCAGGAGTTCTGATTCATTTCAGCAGACATTTTGTGAGTCCCCCATCCCCAGCCAGGCCCTGCATTTCGCCCTGAGGACTCAGCGGGGACCCCCTTCCCCAGGGGACACACAGCCTAACGGGGTGACTTGTTCAGTCTCGACTGTCCAGTGCCTGGAAGGGCTCATTTGTGGAATGACCGGATGCACTGATGAATCGCAGGAATGCTACACGCCACTGCAGGTGACCCTGGCCACGCTGGTCCAAGCACATGACCCTGGGGCAGCTGTCATCACCCAAGGCTGCTAGGTCATCTACAGGGGGAGGCGGGAGTCAGCACAGAGGGTGAGTGGCCAGCATCCGCTTCTGCCCAGACCGCAGGGCGCAGTCCTGAGGATGTGGGCTGGCTGTCCAGGTTGGACGGGCCGGGTCCCCTCTGGGTAGTGGGCTTCCCACGTGTGCAGAGCCGTTCTTGGGGCAAAATGAGCTCACACGGGCACATGGCGCCAGTGCCACTTGTTGGCTCTGTCCCCATAGACTTCACCGGCTGGTGGGTCTGCAGATACAGACCCAGACACGTGTGTGGTTGTGGGAGCTCACGAGGCGGTGTCACTAACTAAATGGCTGTGGGGAGGCAGATGCTGGTGCAGCCCAGAGAGGAGGCTGCGTGGGAGAAGCCTCATGGTGTCCGGTAAGAGGAGAGTCCAGGCAGCACATCAGGGCCAAAGCTGTGATTACGCCTCAGTGAATGGGGCTCCCAGAAGGGCAGCCAGTGGGGCGCCTGGGCTAACAATGAAGGAGTCCGCGTGCCCTGCACGGTGAAGAGTTGCACCAACCCCCAGGCCACAGGGAGCCATGCAGGAGGGTGACAAGCTCACTGGGGACCATGAGGAGGAGAGAAGAATAGCGTGCCTTGACGCAGGCTACTCACATTTGCAGCCAAAGCAGTGACAGCACCGGCTTCTGTGCACTGGATGCCGGCTTCCACCCGTGACACACCCGCCTCCAGGCAGCCCTGAGAAGGCAGAGGGACGCACAGACCTGTCCTCATTCATTCACCCAGGGGGTGGCCACCACTGAGGGGCAGGCTCAGCGCCTGGCCTCGAGGCGGCCTGCAACCCACCGCTATATTGACGTATCTGGTCGCTGTGCTGGTTCAGGTGAGAACTTGGGCTGCCGATGAGTCTATCAGATGCGTCTCATGAAACGCCAGTGGGCTGCCTTCCTCCTTTGGCACCGGACCTCTAGCTTTGAGTGACGGTGTTGTGCGGGCTTAATTTTGTACAGACCCATCAGAGCAGCCTGTTGAGCAGGGGTAGGGCGGGGCGATGGGAAGGGAACCGGGGATGGGGGGCGGGCTTCGGCTACAGAGCTGCCCTCCTGCTGGCAGTGGAAGAAACTGAGCCCCCTCCCCAACTCCCCATAAAGGTGCTCACAGCCCACCAAGTATTTAGAGGCAGGACATCGCCATCTAGTGGTCAGTCACACCAAGTAGGTGTCCCTCAAAGGGGATGGAATGGGGGGGGGCAGTGGTTGACTGAGAACCAACCTTTTCCAGTGATTTCTGAGAATTTGAAAACAAAGAGTTCTGTAGTCATGGAGCAGTTCACATGTATCTTTACTCCATGTGAATCATATAAACATTTATTAGGCACCTGCTGTGGGCTGGCCACTTTGCTCTTCGTTGGCCCAGTGTCAGGGAGGGAACAGTCACACACCGTAACGTCCTTGCCATGTGTCCTGATCCGGGAAGGGGTGGGGTGTGCTCTCTGCACACACGGAAAGGTCCTAGTGATATCCAGCCACGTGCTTTGATACAACAGACAGGCTCAACGTATGCTGATTATCTACCTGAAAGCAACTGCCAATTTCCTTTGAGAATTCAGAAAGGCTGGGTTTCCTATCATGCAAAGGATTCTTTGTTTGCCCGCATAGACTTCTAGGAGATTCTAAGTTGTTGAATGGTCTTTCCAGGAGCTGTACCCTCCTAGCAGGAAACACTAAAAATAAGCTCATTTATAATCAGGTATAAATGAGCAGCTGCCATTTTTTCTTGTTTTGTTTACCTAATTGTGTGGATTTTTTTTTTCCAGTTGCCTTGCCAGAGCATTTTTTTTTTTAATTATTTCACTTAAGCCTGAATACATCTTTGTGATGTGGTTCAAACGATCCCGCTGATAAGGACGTCACAAGACTTCTCACTGAGTCCTTGCTTCGGTCTGTAGGTTTGGACACGTCGGTTTCATTAGCCCAGTTGCCTAGCAGAGGAAACGAAAACTGTAGAGAGTGACCGTCCCCTGTGATCACGGTGACTTCCTCCGTGGCCAGCCACGGTCCCTGACATGGTTACTTTTCAACACGCACTCTGGGAGGCACCTCACAGCTCTGATTTTTCGGAGCTCTTCCAGGGGATCCCGGGAGTGACAGAGCTCAGCCAGCGGAAGTTCCTTCGAGTAGCGTCTCTTTCTCTCTCCAGTTTTAGGGTTTCTCAAACTTGATATGCAGAAGAAATACGTGGCAATCTTTTTTTTTTTTTTTTCCTGGCAATCTTGCTAAAGTACAGATTCTGATTTGCTCTGGGCTGGGGCATTTGCTCTGTGCATGGCGAGCACAGAGGCTGGTCCCCTCCGCCTGGGCTTCCCTTCCCCAGGGTAACCTTCCCAAGCTGCACGGCCCCCCAGGACATCTCCACTGATGGGTAGGGCTTTGGCGGCAATGCCCAGCATGCCCTCAAGGCCCCCTCCCCTCAAATCTGGGGGTTCACAGACCCAGAGGGACCCAGCCACACCGTGTGAGCACTCTGATGACAAAGCTCTGGGTGTCAGAGAACCTGGTTCATTCAGGGAATGTAAAGAGGCTTTTCTTTACCTTGAGAACACAACACAGCTATCACCTCCTCCAGGAAGCCTCCCTGACCCTTCTGCAGCCCTCGGAAGGGCCGCCTGCCTCTTCCAGGACTGGCTGCATTTGTCTGTGTCTCCCCCAAGCTCAGCACACCCCTAGCATATAACAGTCACTCAATAAACTGGGGGTGCAAGAGTGAACAAACCTGCATGGTTAGAACGCAGGTGAGCGGCAGGGGCCAGTGGCTGAGCGTTCCCCTCGCAGCTTCCCCTGCAGGAGTGTTGCGCCCAGGTGCCTCCTTGTTCGTGTGAAGGGCCTCTCCTTGGCCTTGCAGGAGAAGCCCCTCCATGCCCATCGTCTGTAATTACGCAGCCCAGGCATCTGTGAGAGGGAGCAGAGTCCTCGTGTGGCCTAATTAGAAGCTTTCTTAACCTTATCTGGAGCCGTTTCAGTAATCAAGCAGGGAAAAAAATAATTCTCCCAAAGACACATTCAATAAGTAGCTTTGCTTTCTCTCCTTTTCACTGTGGCGGCTGAGCTCTCAGAGTTCATGCTGCGTTTGCTGGTCCCACTGCGGTGGGGTGGGAGAGCCGTGGCTGGAGGGCCAGTCACCGAGCTGGGGGTGCCTCTCACTTATACGCAGTCACCCAATTGTTCAATAAAGGGTGACTAACCCCCCCACCCCCACCACATAGTTGCTGGGAACACTGAGAAGGCTAACTCTCAGAATGCAGGCAAAGGAGGGCTGTAGGGGCCACACGTGGCCAGGGGTGCCATGAGCGTGGCCTGTGCGAGGTCAAGCAGGCTTCAAGGAGAGCGAGTTTGACTTACCCTGGGAGAAGGTAGATGTTTCTTAAGAATCATCAGAAACAAGGAAGACTGCATTGGTTCCCTGAACAGTTCCTGGTGGGGAACAGACAAGTCTAAAGTGGTGAAGAGAGACAGATGGCCGGTGAAAGAAGGCCTTCCAGGCAGGGCACGAAGTCGGGTCAGAGCCTGGTACTTGGGGGTAGCCGGCTGTGTTGAGGCCACGGGAAGGAGGACAGTGTGGCTGGGGCAGGGTGTGCCCTGGGCCAGAGAGGAAGGGAGCCAGAGGTAAGGCAGGCCGTGTCCTTGGGTAAAATGGTGCCAAGAGCCAATGCAGGTGTTTGTGCTCATTAGTGAGGGTCAGTGGTGAAGAGGGGCCACTTCCGGTTCCACCCAAAAACCACATTCCAGCCTGGAGGATTCCCAGGGGCTGACCCGGTCTCCCACTCTCCCCAACGAAGTCTTCACGTTTTTGCTTCTGAACAGTATTGGCCACCAATTGTGGGGCTGAACCAAGAGCAGACAGTCCTCTGCTTCCTCACAGAGCCAGTGCAGGAAGTAAGCTTTCCTTCAGAAGGTAGTGGGGCCATTCTCTCACGTGGGAGGTTTGTGGCTGGTGTAGTCATCAAAAACTGGCCTTTCCACTGGGAAGAAGCAGCTCCGAGATGGCTCCAGTTGCTTGACATCCTGTATCTGGAAAGCCAGTCCTTAATTATAAAATAACAGTTCCTAAGGATTGAGCATACTTGGTCCCAAATTCCTCCCTCCCTCATTTTCCTCCTCGTAGATAGATGCCTCTCTCTGGCCAGCCTGCCTTCCTCTCAGCCTTTAGTCCAAGGACAGCAAAAGGCACTTCTATTGTTGTAAGCAAGGCTTTGAACTTACTTTTCCTAATGTTACGGTATCCAAAGTGTGCTCATTGCTTTGCACACCCATTTTACAGATGAAGAAGCTGAGGCCCAGGGCAAAGAAGGAGGGCAGAGATGGGCTTGAAGTGGCTATGGTTATGCGTCCCTGATGCATCGTCCGTGATAGAGAGATCCCCACCACTCCTCATGGTTAACTCTCCTCTGCTCAGCACAGCTCCCTGCCGTCAGAGACCCTCTCTTGTTCATCTGTGTGGCTCCGTTTCTTCCAGACACGTGCCCGGGACATGGAAGGTGCACGTCTAGTGCTTGTGGAACCAGTGATGAAGCCTGGAAGTCAGTGTCGGGCCTTGAGTGTCCCCCTGCCTCTCCTCGGAGACCTGATCTCCCTCTCCCCTCTCCAGAACCAAAGTGCCCCCATCCCCTGTAGCAGAGGGTCTCCCGGTTCTAAACTCAAGCTCTCCACAGGTTTCCCTAAAGGCTCTAGGCTGGCTTCTTCCAGATGTAGTTAAGGCAACCCGGGGTCCCCCTTAAGGTATTAGGAGCAATGGCAGGAAGAGGTGGTAGGCTCTGGCCACACACGCCTTGGGAATCATCTGATGCTATAAAGGCATAAACGTTTCTCAGGAAGCACTCTCAGTGCCTACTGTGTAAAGGCAGCATGGTGCTGTGGGCCTCTGGTTAGACAGCCGAGCCACGGAATCCCAGCTCTATATGACCTTGGCTGTCCATGTGACCTTGGCCGTACCACTGCATTCCTCCGATTCCCATTTTCTTTTTCTGCTCAGCGATGTACCATCCCTAACGGTAATGGTAGGCGTGAAGTGGGGGCGCGTGCAAAAGGCCTAGGGTTCTACCTGCCAAATAGTGGCCGAGCAGAACTGGTGCCTGCAGAGGCTGCCGGGGACGGAGCTCAGAATGTGATGGAATACAGAATCCAGAGATGGGAACGGCGCACTAAAAGCAGAGCGGTCAGCTAAGGCTTCAGGAGGGAGACGGCAGGAGCTTCATGGGAAGAGGTTCTTTACTGCCCCCTTGTGCCCTTGCAGGCGTTGAGCAATCCGGAGAAGATCGCTGAGCAGATAAGTAAGGATCTTGCCTGGCTCACTTCCCACCTGATGGCTCTGTGGACCCAGTTCCTAGATACGGTGACTCTGCACTCCCAGGTGACCACTTACCTCACCCAGGAACATCACACCTTGAGGGTAAGGTGTCCAGTGGGATACATTCTCTAATCACGCGCCGGTGACCCCTTGAGGAAGCCTTACGACAGTCAGCTCACTGGGCAGGACAGGAGTTGGGGTTGACTTACATGGTTGGTGAGGATCCCGAGTGCTGGTCCAGGCTCCACCACCAGCTCGCAGGGAGGCCTTATGAGTGTGTTCAGCCTCCGAAACCGCTGCCTCCACCATTCCTGAAACACCTGCCCTGGCTGCCAGCTGATAGCAGAGCCTTATCTTGAGGGATGTTACAAGTGCTTAGAAATGTGTTTTCAACTGTAAGATCTTGTCCTTTGCCACCAGCTTGGGTGCATATGGATTGGTCCTGATGCAAAATACAAGATGTTGGTCTCATTTACGGCAAGAGAGCCAAATATCTGGGTCCACGAAGCACTTAGCGGGTGCACTCACATGACTGGCTTTGCAAATTCTGTCTCATCTGCACTTACTTACGGTCACAGTCTTCAAGTGTCTTATATTCTCGTAGAAGAAATACGACCGAAATAAAAACATGACAGAAAGCAGTGCAAGAACAGATTCATAAACATGCATTAAACTGTGTCCAAAGCCAGCTTTGGGCTAAGAGTCCCCATGTGAGAGAGGGTAGCTGTGGAAGTATTTGTTTCAGATTTGTTTAACCCCCTCTGGGTGGTGGGCTCAGCTCTCTTACCTCTGTGAGTCCCAGTTTCCCTTTGAAAAATCAAGGTCATGCCCTCCCAATGAGTTAAGTTGTTTACATTCTCTTACTCCTCAGGTCCGAAGGTTTTCTGAGGCCTTCTTTTATATGGAGCACCAAAAACTTGCAGTCCTGACCTTTCAGGAAAATCTGTAAGTAACCAATTGCATGCCCACGTCACACTGTAAAAGTAGCCACCCAACGCATTCTTGTTCAGAGGTACTTCTTTCCTTCATCTCCGACTGCCAAGGAGAGCAGAGTACCCACCCTTGCACATTCAGGCTGCATTTTGTCTGCAGGCAAGGGAGTCATACAATTGCAGAGGTGGGATCTAGCAGGTGGCAGAGAAGGTCAATAGCCAAAGTTTTCTTTTGTTGAGTGTTATTATGGTTCTATAGACAGAATCAAGACTTCCCAGGTCCCTGAAGACATCTGTGCTGAGTCTTCTTTGTGAAATGAATTAGAAGTAGGTGGTGTGGCCACAAGCTATGTCGGGAAAAACACAGAACTCGCTGGAGACCTCGCAGTAGCTTCTGAACGCATTTAGCATGAGAATGAAGACCAGACTAATTAGGAGGACTGATGGGTTTCTAAGTCTGCCTTCCTCCAAAATTAAAGAAAAGATGAAAACCCTAATAAAAAAGTCAGGGGGCTAACACGAGATGAGGTCATCGTCGCGTACATCTCCCTGGGGGAGGGAGGAGGAGATGGATCCCTCTAAGAGGGTTGGCCTTTGCCCCACAAGGGGTTCTTTGGTTTCTGAAGGATCCATCCACCTCCAAGAATAAGTGGGGATGGAGTCATGTTTGAGATGGCATAGTAGCTCCAGCAGGAGAAACATTTTAGGTTCACCTCCCACACGAGACAGATCTGAAGACCTTTTCGTCCCCCACGTTGACAACCCTCTCTTGCTTCTTTCCACACTTCCTCCTGGTGGAAAGTAGACTGGCATTTACAGCTTACCTCGCGGAGCCTGGAAGTGAGGGGGCGCCAAGGGAGACACATCTGTGGTTAAAATAGCCTGTCTAGAAACACGTCCGATCTTCCACTCGCTCACGCATTACTCAGCTCTCAGCTAGCACTGGGGGAAGGTCCGTTCTTAAATGAAAATCAGAAGGCGTTGATCCGACAGATGTGAACATAACACGGAGGGCCGCTGAGCAAAAATGCTGTAAGTCAGGACTCTTGTAGGAATCTGCTTCGTGAGTCCCCACCACAGCAGGCAAGCCCTAGATGGCCGGGCCGTGCTGTGGTCCCAAGGAGCGTAAGCACACGTGCTAGAACAGCCACGGGAGCAGTTCTGCGAAGATGCCAAGTACAGAGGATGTGAAACTCAGCCAACCTGGGTTCACAATCCTGTACCTCCACTGGCCTATAGCAGGTCCTTGACAAAGTTGTTATTATTATTATTTTTTTTTTTTTTGCTGTTGATTTTTATTTCCTCTTGCCCTCCCCTGGCCTTTGTTTTCTTAAAACAGGCAGGGTCATGGTTGTAGAACACCCACATCCATGGATTACACTGTTCAAGTCACAGACTCTGCCCAGAGAATGTTAGGTGATGATACATCCCACAGTCGTTGACTGTGCATGTAGGCACGGGGGACACCACGGGGAACAAAGTAAAGACTCTGTCCTTGTGGGTCCCTCACTCTAGGGCAGGAACAGGCCAGATGTGAGTCGTGTCATTTCAGGTAGTGACCAGTGTGGAGAAACAAGTCAAGGCGAGGACACAGAACATGGCGAGGAGGGATATGGCCAGCGTCCTCATACATGTTGAAGGACTAGCTCTCAGAGACAAAACCCAAAACTCGGGTCTGTTGTGTTTGCTGATTTCACACAGTGGTCACTTTCAAGCTGCCGCTATGTGTTTTTTGCTTATTTGTTTCAAAGTTTTGTTTAGATTCTAGTTAACATACGGTGTAATATTGGTTTTGGGTGTAGAATTTAGTGACCCGTCATTTATGTACAACAGCCAGTGCTCATCACAAGTGCCCTCCTTTTTTTTTAATGTTTGTTTATGTTGAGAGAGAGAGAGAGAGAGAGAGAACGTACATGGAAATGGGGCTGGGGCAGAGAGAGAAGAAGAGAGAGAGAATCCCAAACAGGCTTCGCACTGTCTGCATGAAGTCCGATATGGGACTAAATCTCAAGAACCATGAGATCATGACCTGAGCCTAGATCAAGAGTCACATGCTCAACCAACTGAGCTACCCAGGCACCCCCTGTTTTTAAATGTGTGTCTTCCTTAATACCCACCACCCATTTACCCCCTCTTCCATGAACCCTCAGTTGGTTGCCAGTATGTGATCTCTGAACACGGGGCTGGGAAGAGACGGGCACAACTGGCCCTTCCAAGCCACACTGACCAGCTCCACCACAACACTGGGTGTGGGACGAGGATTGTTTTGGCCAAAGTGCTAGGAGAGAATCTTTCTGAGGATGTGACATTTGAACAGAGGCTGAGGTTATAACAAGCCATCCCTTGATAGGAAAGAAGACCCATCAGAGGGAAAAGCTGGTGTCAAGGCTCTTATACAAGAACATGAAGTATGAGGAGTGGTGGAAGGCAGGTGTAGCTAGAATAGAGTGAGCAGGAAACAGGGGAGGGAGGCGGGACCTGCAAAGTCAGTAGGGACCAGCCCATGTGTGACCGTATGGACCAGGACAAAGAATTCAGAGTTTGCACCATGACCATTACGATTAAAGCCTTTAAGAAAAAATCGGCAAATGAGTATGGTGGAAAGACCTGATTTCAGATCTCATATACATGGCGTGAAATCTCGGTCCTGTAACTTACAGTATTTGTGACACCAAAGCAGACCTCTCTTAGGTTGTTGTTTAGATGTAAAAGGGAGAGCCCCACATTCAGCAAATACCCACTTAGTGCTGACTCTGGGCCAGGCACTAGTCTGGGTGGTAGACAGCAGTGACCAAAACTGGCAAATTCCCTAGCTCATAGAGCTTGTTTCAGTAGGGGAAGGCACAGAAGGAAGTACGTATGATAAGCCAAATGCAGTATGTGCCAATGAGAAATGTGTCAGTGGGGTAAGGACGGAGGGTCCCACTGAGGGGTCACAGAAGGGTCGCTGAGAAGATGACATTCAGCCAGAGGTCTGAAGCAGGGGAGGGACTGAGCCGCGCAAATACCAGGGAGGCAGAGCAGCTGTCTCCTAGCACAGCTGTACAGAGACTCATCACTACTCACTAGCAGATATTAACCTGTAGGGTAAAGCAGACTCTAGGCTAGGAGCAATATTATTCAGGAGGAAGTAAACTTTAAAAAAAAAATGTTTTAACATTTATTCATTTTTGAGAGACAGAATGCAAATGCGGGAGGGGCAGAGAGAGAGGGAGACACAGAATCCAAAGCCAGCTCCAGGCTCCGAGCTGTCAGCACAGAGCCCGACACGGGGCTCGAACTCGTGAACTGTGAGATCATGACCTGAGCCAAAGTTGGAGGCTTACTCGACTGAGCCACCCAGGCGCCCCCCAGGAGGAAGTAAACTTTTAATTAGGTCATTAAGAGTAAGAGGTACAGAACAGAAAGGGGCATTTTATGTCAGGAACTGAGAACCTTCCTGGAGGAAAGGTACAGAGGACTATGAACAGAATTTCTGCTCCCATCGAGGCAGCGAGCAGCTGAGCAGCGCTAGTGGATCCTCACGGGCATGGTGCAGCCACCTGGGGATCCAGGCTGTAGAGGGAGGGCGTGCCTGTGAGTCACAAACATCCCCCCAAACCAGGCCAGACAAGCGGCCGGATGAGGTGAAACCCATCTGTCCAGACCCATCTTGTTCAAGCTCAGACTAGATTGTGTCTCCCCAGCAGTGGCTCACAGCCATTTAGGAGGATGTGACAGCCACGTAGTGGATTTGGAACAGCACTTCTTAAATGAAATAGGATGGGTTGGAACAGAACCAGAGGGAGCAGGAAGTCCGAGTAAGGTGTGTTTCTGAACCCCGTTTCCGCGTGTTTCCGGAAGTGTGGGCTTGCACTGGCTTGCCGCGTAAAATGAAGAGTGTTTCTTCCCGTGGGTTGCTGTGTCTTATTTTTTTATTTTAATTTTTTTAACTTTATTTATTTTGAGAGAGAGAGAGAAAGTGAGGGAAGGACAGAGAGAGAGAGACAGAGAGAGAGAGAATCGCAAGCAGGCCAGTGCAGAGCCCGATGTGGGGCTCGAACTCACAAACTGTGAGATCATGACCTCAGCCCAAACCAAGAGTTGGACGCTCAATCAGCTGAGCCCCCCAGACGCCCCATGGGTTGCAGTATTTTAAAATGCAGTGTTGCAGTGTTTAAAATGGTTTAGAACTGGCTGGGAGCCAGGGTCCGTCTTATTGTCTCTCTCTTCTGTGTCACCCGTGTCTAGCCTGTGCTCTTCATACAGTTAAGGGTTCAGGGAAAGCTTCTAGCGGAGACGTCAGGAAATGTGAAAGCCTATATGAACGGGAATGAACGCAGGAGGACCTGCACTGGCGATCTAGCCCCTGGAACAATGACCGTTGATTTATCCCTCTGCCTTTTATGTTTTTTGTGTAGTAATAATCGTAACGCTAATCTTTAAAAAGTTTCATTTTACGAGAGGCTATGTAGATAGTGTTGAACACAAGAGGCACTTTCCCTGGCTTGCTGATGATGTTTTGTCCGTTGAGATGGGACTCTGGTAAGAAGTGCTGAGGGCAGCACGTGCCCTGGCTCGCCTTATGTTCGCGTTAACACTATGAGCTATGAACTGTTTCCATCCTCACTTCACCAAAGAAGAAACTGGGGAAGGCCACCCTCCCCCTCCCCGGGAGGCTCATTGGGTTAAGCATCCGACTGGCTCAGGTCATGATCTCACAGTCTGTGAGTTTGAGTCCTGCGTCAGGCTCTGCACTGACAGCTCGGAGCCTGCACCCTACTTCAGATTCTGTGTCTTTCTGTGTCTCCCTCTCTTTCTGCCCTTCCCTCTCTCACACTCTGTCTCTCTCTTTCTTAAAAATAACCACTTAAAAATTTTTAAAGAAGAAACCAGCAAAACCAGGGCTCAGAGAGGCTAAGTAACTTATCTTAGACCACACAGCAAGCATGTGTTGTACACACGGACTGCTGAAGTCCAGATCCCACACTCCCAGCCTCCTCGCCATGGCTCCGCTATACAGTGGTGACCCATTCTCCTAAAGAATACACCAGAAGAACTGCACTGGGATTTCTCACCCTCTAAGATAAAAATATCCCTTGTTGCTGGCTGTCCTCTGGGAGTCCCAGGAAACCTGAAATGGAAATAAGTGGGTGATGGACGGGGGCCTGGATGCTCCGTAGAGCAGATCTCCAGAACTTAGTCATCTTATTTCCTTGAAACTTTATGCTCGTTACTTAGCACCTCCTCATTTTCCCACCCAGCCCCCGGCAGCCACAGCTGTATTTTCTGACTCTGAATCTGACTATTTTCGATTCCTCCCATAAGTGGAATCACATGATATTTGTCCTTCTGAGGCTGACTGAGTTCACGTTGCATAATGTCCTCAAGGATTGTCCGTGTTGTCATGTATGACAAGATTTCCTTCTTTTTTAAGGCTGAATAATATCGCATCATTCTGCATTTTCTTTACCCCTTTCCTGCTCATGGATACTTAGCGTGTCTCCGTAGCTGGGCTTTGTGAATAGTGCCAGGCACGTGGGAGTGCACGTATGGCTTCAACACCCTGATTTCAGTTCTTCGGGATAAATACCCAGAATCAGGATTGTCCGATCACATGGCAGTTCTATTTTTAACTTTCTGAGGAACTTCCTTACTGTTTTCCAAAGCAGCTGCAACATCTTACATCCGCATCAACAACGTACAAGGGATGCGACTTTTCCACATCTTCACCAACAGTGGTTTTTTGGTTTGTTTTCATAAAAGCCATCCTCGGTGAGAGGTGATGGCTCATTGTGTATGTGCCCTGGAATTCTTAGTCATTTTTGTTAACACACGCTAAGCACTGTTTTAGGTACTTGGTCACATGCACAAAGTCTACGCTTAAGACGCCACATTCTAACAGGAGGTAATTCCCCACGTATAACAACCTGGACCTGACTGTCCAGCAGCCCTCCCGTGTTATAGTTACTTGATTCATCACCTGATTTATTCATGCCTATGAGCTCTTTAGGTCCAAAATCAAATTTCCATCCTGGAGGTTTACGCCCTGGCCTGTGGACACAGTCCTACGCACATGGGTACCCAGTCACTATGCTTTTGTAAAAAACTAAAAGCTGAACCCAGAGTGCCAGGTTCTGATGATAGCTAAGTGCAGAATTGACTAATTCCATTTAAATATTTAAAGGAAGGTTCACAATACTATGAAGTTGCTACAGCCTTCATGGCTTTGAAGAAGATAATACATTGCTTATCTTTTTTTTAAAAAAAAAGTTTATTTATTTATTTTGAGACAGAGAGTGAGTGCACAAGCAGAGGAGGGACAGAGAGGGAAGGAGACAGGATCCCAAGCAACCCCATGCTGGCAGCGCAGAGCCCAATGCAGGGCTCAATGCCATGAACTCGGAGATCATGACCTGAGTCAAGATCAAGAGTCAGATCCTTAACTGACCAAGCCACCCAGGCACCCTGTATCCTTTTTGATCATAGGTTAAAATCCAATGGAGGAATAAGAAGGAAATAAAATATTCATATTTCATATGTATATTCAAAACACACATATAATATATCCCATGTGCATATGTTTATCATATTTGTCACCAAGAGTGCCAAATGAGAGAATTTTCCCTGGGGTCCTGTGGAGTTCTGCCTCTGTAAAGCTGGCCTGTGGGAGCAGGTGATACTCCCCCACAGCTGACGAGTGATGTGGGGGCTTCCAGAGGTCGGGCTGCTCCAAAAAGAGCGACGGTCAGACAGACAGACATAAACTAGCTACGTGTGCTTAATTCTTCTCCCAAACTGGCCAACCCAGTAAGGCCCTCTTCTCCCTTGTGCAAGTGGGATTGAGGCGGTGTGGAGAAGATGACAGAATGCTCATGCTTTTCCTTCGTGGGAGGAAATAAACTCTCTCCCTTCTGCAGGTACTTGAGGAGAAGGGAATAAACATTTCCAACCATCCTGTCTTTTTTTTTTTTTAATGTTTTATTCATTTTCCTTGAGAGAGAGAGAGAGAGACAACGTGAGCAGGGGAGGGTCAGAGAGAGAGGGAGACACAGACTCTGAAACAGGCTCCAGGCTCCGAGCTGGCAGTCAGCACAGAGCCCAGTGCAGAACTCGAACCCATGAACCGCAAGATCATGACCTGAGCCGAAGTCAGACACCCAACTGACTGAGCCACCCAGGCGCCCCAGCCATCCCATCTTTTGAATGAGGAATACTGATGGTTTCAAAGTCTGAAACCAAATTCTTGCTGGTGGAAAGGTGTCTGGTTCATGGAGAAAGAATATGGGGCATTGTTTTTTTTCCTTTTAATGTTTTATTTATTTCTGAGAGAGAGAGTGAGCAGGGGAGGGTCAGAGAGAGAGGGGAGATATAGAATCTGAAACAGGCTCCAGCCTCTGAGCTAGCTGGGTCAGAGCCCAGGAACCCTGAGATCATGACCTGAGCCAAAGTCGGACGCTTAACCGACTGAGCCACCCAGGCACCCCTGGGGCATTATTTTTTTTTATTTTTATTTTTTAAATAGTTTATTGTCAAGTTGGTTTACATATAACACCCTGGGGCATTGTTTTTTAATCCTACATAGAGGAACAAAAATCCAGGGCCCCTGAACTAGGAGTAAGTAGGGAAACTTACATGCTAATCAAGGATGCTGGTGTCCACACAGTAAGCAATCAAAAAAAAAAAAAAATGCAATTTTCGATGGTTCTTAATTCTTAACCTGTGGGAGGTTAGAAATGCAACAGTAAGGGATAAGTAACTTGAAGTGTTTCCTCCAAAGTACTAAGTTAAGGTTCCTGCCATTTTGAAACTCAGCTCTTCCTCCTCTAAAATGGTATTTATTGCTTCTCACTGAAACAGGGTGTGATAAAGTGCCCCAGTCATACGATCCATGACCTCTAACCTCAGTGCCCAGACCAGTTATGATACAAAGCAGACCATGGCATTGGGGGCTGGGTAGGTGGCTGGGAAGAAAGGAAGAGAGGATGGACGGACCGATAGTGGATTGTCAGAGCCCACTGAACATTTTCTGGATATATTCTTGGGATGAGGGTCTGGGGGCAAGGATTCTTAACACATTTCAAGCTTACTTAGAGGGGCGCCTGGGTTGCTCAGTTGGTTGACTCTTGCTTTCTGCTAAGGTCATGATCTCCCAGTTTGTGAGTTCGAGCCCCACGTCGGGCTCTGTGCTGATGGTGCAGAGCCTGCTGGGGATTCTGTCTCTCCCTCTGTCTGCCCTTCCCCCACTCCTACTCTCTCTCAAAATAAATAAACTTAAAAAAGCCTCCTGGGGTGCTAACCCAGTGCATGTGTCCCCAGGATACAGAGCCACAGCCAGCTATCTCTGGACGTCCGGAATTCAGAGTACCTCACCACCATGCCCCCGCTGCCCGCCGAGTGCCTGGACATCGACGGTGACTGGGACACCCTGCCAGTTATCTTTGAGGACAGATACGTGGACTGCCCTGCAACAGGTTGGTCCTCGTCTGGGAAAGAACCGTGGCTCCCAGTCAGTTGCCCTATTTATGCTCGGGGAGCAGTGGAACCAAATCAAGGAAGGAATTTGTCAGCTCGTGGAGGAGAGCAAAGACTCAGGCTAAGCCAGTGGGAGATGGCGTGACGTCCGTGCAATTGACAAATCAGTGTAACAGAAGGGCAGGTACAGTAAAGGTCCCCTTCCTGTTGGACAGCCTTTCTTACCCCAGATGTGCAACGCAAATATAAAATCATGTCTCTTTGCATTTTCACGGCATTCGGCTCAGACTCCTGTGGGGTGCTCGCTTCGTGCCCCGAACCAGGCTGCATCAGGGCTGGCGGATGAGCGACTCTGCTCAGGGAGAAAAGACAGCGGGCTCCTGTGTATTTGTGTTTGTATCCGAGCTCGGTCTGTCTTGCTGGTGTTGCACAGTTTGTTAACGAATCGATTGCTGGGGAGTGCATGAGGCAAGCCGGGGGGACAATAGCCCTCCGTCCCCTTGCACAGCCCTGCATGTGGAAACCCAAAAGCTATCACAGGTGACAGAGCTGAAGGAAACCCGAATGAGCCAGAAAATACAGCTGGAGGCTTCACATGGTTTATCTTTTGTAATCCTGTTACAAAACAGACAAACAAACGAACCTCAAAAGCCCTATTTCACCGAGAGAAACTGAGGCACGGGGGTATAAATATGTATTAAAGATCATGCGGCTTATAAACACCAATGTGGAAAGCAAGGCACCCGAGCCCCAAGGCCCAGGGTCTGCCTTGCCGTCTCTTTGTGAGGCATTTTAACCATAAAGGCTTTCATTTAAATTACGCTGCCATTAAAATTTCAGAATTTCCGCAGTCAGAGATTTGTAGGGTCTCATCAAAGCCTTGGTGACTGTGAAGACAGTGCCACTTTGTACATTAAGGATGTTGCCCGGTTCACAGTTCTCAGCTGTGCCCTGACATCTAGTGTCTACATTGCATAGGACAAGCCAGAAGGTAGCGGCTCTCAAGATGCAGCCTACCCAGCTGGTCAGACTTAAGCCACCTTTGCCTTGAGACTGCGTGTGTGTGTGTGCGCGCGCGCGCGCGCGCGTGCGCGCGGGCGCGCGATCTTCATTTTAGTTATGTCAAGTAGATACAAGAAAATTGAACAGTTGGAGGGGCGCCTGGGTGGCTTAGTCGGTTAAGCGTCCGACTTTCGCTTAGGTCATGATCTCGCGGTTCGTGGGTTCGAGCCCCGCGTCGGGCTCTGTGCTGACTGCCAGCTCAGAGCCTGGAGCCTGTTTCAGAGTCTGTGACTCCCTCTCTCTCTGACCCTCCCCTGCTCACGCTGTCTCTCTCTCTCTCTCTCTCCTAGAAATAAACAAAACATTAAAAAAAAAATTTTAAAAAAAGTTGAACAGTTGGAGAAGAAATTTAAAATAAACCCCCACGATCAGACCCCCTGACGTTATCATTAGGCCTCATTGCAGACGGTCTCCCAGTCTGTTTTCCGGTACATGTTAAACCAGACGCCCCAAGGGATCTAAAACTCAGCCTGCAACTCCTCCGTGTAATTGCATCACATTAACTTTATTTTGTATAAATCTTCTGCAGAGGAGCTGAGCCCCATCCAGCCTTGCAGCACGAGCTGGGGAGTCAACCCCGGGCTTTCTGGAGCTTCTCTGCGCTTATCCACCATGTCAGTGCCCTGGACCTAGACGGCTGGGGCCGTCTTTCCTGCCCAAGCAGGTTCCCCTCGGCTGTGCATTGTCCATCTCTGCACCTGCTTTAGAACCAGCATCTCTTCGCAGCTTTTGTAATGTGCTTGGGACCTGGGACTTGGCCGAGTGTGGGACACCAGCATGAAGGATCCCATCTTCCCAGAAGGACCCCGAGGCAATTGCTCTCAGAGGGTTGGCTATCTCCTCAAGATTTCTCCCAACAGACCTCTCACCTGTTCCCTCCCCCACCCCCCACTACTTCCCCACTCAAAACTTTTCTTGACCTTCTTCGTCCCTTCACAGGGTGCTCTGATGATTTAATCCCAGAGCAAAACCATTAGCAAATAAAGAACTATTTCCTTTTTCCTCCAGGGGTTGGTGACCTTAATGTAATTTGCAATGAGGTCATCACATTTGCATTTCATTGTTTTAGCTAGGGAAGAAAGGGACAAAAAAAAAGAGTCCCATTTCCATATTAAAATAGTAATATTTATTCATGGTCTGCTGTAATCTCATGGGTAGACCCCTTCTCTATTCCAGGGACTCCCAAAGTCTGCCTGTATTGGCTGTGACCCCTCACTCCTTGGTCCCAAGGCAATGGAACCTTTTGCATAAAAGCCTTAACAGTCGGCTAGACTGCCTGAATTTGAATCTTTTCTCCAACCATTAGTACCGTGTGGAACTGGGCAAAAGGAATTGTAATTTATATTCCGTAGACCTGCTGTGAGCAGTGGAGAGATCCAGCCACAGAACACTTACACGTGGTCGGCACAAAGGAAGTTATGAATGCATATCGACTAATACCATTAGCTAGCATCTGACTGAATCCATTCTCTTTGAATTAGGTGTTTTGCTACTCTTATTTTTCCCCAGCTGTGGCTGTGAACCTAGTGTTGCCATTTTGACAGTCCACTTCCTCACTGGGCTTCCTGTGTCCTGTCTTACACTGTCTATGACTAATCAGGGGCATCTTTCATTTTTGTTCAAAGAGTCCATCAATCCTCCTGTTGCCTGTAATATAAAGACCAGACTCCTCAGTCATACAGGGCATCCAAGTTCATCCATATGGTGGGTTCTCTCTGCCTGTCTAACACAATGCCTGCTCCACAGCCCTGTTCACGCTGGCTCTCTCCACATGGGATCTAACTGATGCTTGACCACACTGTGCACCCCAGGCTTCTGGATCTTTGCCCTTTGCTGTTCTCCCTGCTTGGTCTGACTCATTGTCTCCTTCTCTGAAGAACCCAATTCCTATTCTCCAAGATAACAGCCCATATGCTTCAGGTAGAGCCCAAAGAAACTAGTTCATTATTACAACTGGTCCCCACTTCCCCTCTCCCTAGCTCATGGCCTCGTAGAGGACTCTACGCATAGGCTATGCCAATTATTATTCATGGATTCAATCACATTGACCTTGTGGTTTTTTTCAAACCAATATAAACAGCTTGTGAGAGTAATCATCTTTGTTCTGCTACATTTCTGTTCTGTTCTCAATTCGCTTTATGAACACAGCTCAGTGACTATGTGACAGCTGCGGTGGTAGCTGTGGGCACACAGATATTCACCCAATACAAGCCCTTCTCTGCAATGGGGACAGGAAGTGCACAGATGGATCCTTTTATATATGGTGGTGGTGGTGGTGTTACAGCACATCTGTGTTGAGGGGATGCTGGGAATTTGCCCAGACAACGTCCAACTTGTTGTTGGCTATGGGAAGGCTCCCCCAGAGGAAGGGACATTTGCTCAGTCCCTCGAGATGCAAAGAACACATCGACATAAGGAAGAGACCCATTCTTTCCCAATCTTTGGTCTAATCTTTGACCCAGTTGTAAATTTCACTCCAAGGTGTGAGCTTTTGATACGATTTGTAAGTGTCTCAGTGATTCACTTCATAACACCCTCTAGTGTTTATAGTTCTCTAACTTCTATGAAAACCATATGAAGGATTTAAATGTTTTTTAAGTAAAAGAAAAAGCTAACCATTTCTTCTTTTGTTTGGTGTATATGGAAATTCAATAACACTTCAGATGGCTTTGTCAAGAGAGGTGGTTCAGACAGAGTGGGGGGGGGCACTTATTTTCTTCCATGTATGCTTGACTAGAAGGGAGAGAAAGATAGAGAGATAGGGAGGTGATGGGAGGGGAGGGAAGGTAGGGGAGGAGGAGGAGGGAAGAGAAGAGAGAACAGACTGAGAGACAGGATGTGAGAGATAATAGCTTACCCTAAAGAAAAATAAGAGAAAGAAGGTCATGCCTTGACCCCTGCCATCCTACCTGGAAGATCAGAGTGATCTGGGAACCTCTGTGATCTGAATGCCATGTGGGATAATTGCTCTGGTGACAGAGCTCAAGCTTGAAGGGGTTCCCTACAGAAGGCAGAGATCTGTCCTCCCCACATGTGACATTTCATATCATCACTCTCCTGTGAGCTCTGTCTGTGCGACCAGCTGGTCACTATGAATCTGCCCATCCTAGAGCTGACGAAAGTGAGCCCGGGGGTTGGGGGGCGGGGAAGGCTTATTTATTCTGTCATCATCCAAGGCCTCATGGCTGGTGGGTGCCAGTGTCAGGATGCGAAAGCAGACCTTCCTGGCCCCAGAGCTCTTTCTACACTGTGAATACTGTACATGAGACAGAGAAATGCTTTAATATTTAAAAGTGGTGATTGTTAAAACTGTTTTTGATAAGTGCAAGGCAAATCATGAATTATAATATTTGACAGTTTTGCTTTAGTGCGAGGCGATTCTGACACTAATTACCTGCTGTTCGGTTGAGTTACATAGGTCAAGGGCACAGCCTCTGATGAGGCCGCTCACGTCAGACACAAGCTTGGGGGTTCCTGGGCCACCCGTACTCCTGGCCAACTGGCTACCAGTTCCGGGCTTCCCACTGCCCCCTCAGGTTTGATGATTTACTAGAACAATTCACAGAATTTAAGAAAGCGCTATGCTTGTGGTTACGGTTTTAATATAAAGGATGCAAATAAAGGCTAGACAAAGAAAAGACCCCTAGGTCAAGGTCTAGAAGGGTCCCAAACATGAAGCTCCGGGTGCCCCCAGGACTGGTCATTCTGGCAAACCAATGTTTATTGCCACCGGGGAAGGGTATTCAGGCCCCAATGTCCACAGTTGTTATTGGGGTTTCATTATGAAGACATGGTTGGTTGATCATTGGCCACAGGATCCAACTCCTCTCCTGGGAGTTTGTCCTGGTATTCCCTGGCTCAAAGCCCTGACCCAATGGTTGGTCTTTCTTGCATGGCCAGTCCCCACCCTGACTCATCTCCTTAGCATAATCTACTAAAGGGCTCATCAGAGTCACCAGGCTAGCGTACGCCTGCCAGCCACAAATAACAAAGACTTTGCATCACTTGGGAAGTTGCACGAATTCAGGGCTTGTCCTCCAGGAACCAGGAACAAAGCTCAGCCAATTTTTTTATTTTATGGTCAGGCTTCTGGATAATCTGTGGACATAGATTCGTAAACCACTATACATTCGTCTTTCTTTTTTCTGTTTGTAGGGCACAGTTTGAGTGTTTCCCCTGATTTTGATGTTCAAATGAATCTGAAAGACCGAGAAGAGAACCCTGTTGTAAGTAGAAAATCACCTTTTAGGGAAGACCTTGTCTCGCCCACCATGAAACCACCCCAAATGGACTCTGATAAGGAAGTTCTGAGGCGTCCAGAGCCAGATAACAGTGCAACTACACCAAAACATGAGGATGTGGGCTCCGAATCTCAGGTGTATCTGACAATTGGTGAGTTCCAGAACAAGGCAGGTTTGCCTGAAGATGAAGGTTGGGCTGGCCCAAGGGCTGATGCTGGAACACGTCCACTGGCAGATGAGGACCTGCTCAGAAGGCCGGGTCCAGAGGATGGCCAGCCCTCAGCACTCACCTACATTGATGTGAAATCTAGCAATAAGAGTCCCTGCAGCGCTGAACCCACGGTGGTCATGAGTGATCAGTGCGAGAGTGGGCACTCTCAAGATAACCGTGAATCCGCCAGAACTGTGCCAGGCAAGGAGGTATCCGGTGGAAGTCGTCAACATGCCATCTCTTCAGAGAAAACAACACTCCATGAGTTAAGTACTTTAGGGAACGTTGCAGACCAAGAGGGCAAGATGGTGCTGCTAAGTCTGAAGCTCATCCCTTCTGAGCCCTGCGATCCACCAAACTCTACTTCAAGGGATCCCTTAGATGTTAGGGCTTCCCCAAAGGACCCTCACTCAGAGGAGCAGGAGGAAGTGTCGGTGCTCTCTGGGGTCATCAAGAGATCTTCTTCCATCATCTCCGATTCAGGCATTGAGAGTGAGCCGAGCTCTGTCGCTTGGTCCGAAGCACGAAGCAGGGCCCTGGAGTTACCCAGTGACCGGGAAGCCTTGCACCATCTGGTTCGAAGACATGCCCTGCACAGAAACTCCTTAGAGGGTGGACACACCGAGAGCAATACGAGTTTGCCAAGTGGGATCCAGGCATCCCTCACCTCCATTAGCTCCTTGCCTTTTGAGGATGAGGAACGGGAGCTGGCACTCACCAAGTTGACCAAGTCCGTATCTGCACCCCAAATCAGTAGCCCAGAGGAGTCTGCTGAGGACACAGACTCCGTGCAGCAAGGTGGACCCCTCGCTGAAAGTTCAGCCGTGCCCATCAAGAGCATAGACTCCCCGGGATCCAGGATCGGGGATGCTGGGGCACAGGTGGTTTCAGGTGCCGACAGCCAGCAGGGCCCCGGTTACATAGACATCCCCAAAGGTAAAGAGAGTCAGTCTGAGCCTCAAGGACCTTGCTGTCCTGATGGGAGGACAGAGAACCCTCCAGATGTTGAAACCAAAGGTCTTAATTTAAAAATACCACGTATCGTAGCCCTTGAAAACCCTAGGAATGAATCTTTTCCTAGCGTACTGAAGGAGACCCCCAAGGGCATGCCTGAAGACTTGAGTATGGAGAAAGGAGCTCTTTCCGACAGCAGCATCTCAGATGATGAGACTATTGCCCACCATAAGGTGCCTGAATTGAACTGTATGGCAGTTGCTGATGCCATCGACCTGAGTTCAACAGGCAAGCAGAGCAGCTCACCTTGTATCATCAACGACGCAGAATTTAGCAAAGGAGCTAAGGTTCTCCTGGAGGCTGGACGTGAAGCAGGCACTGTGTGCTCCACTGTGACTCACTCCCAGGTTTTAGGAAACCAAGAGCCAAGGGCAGGCACTTCCGTCATGGTGTCCCACCTGCCCCCGGCAGAGACTTTCACTCTGGAGAGCCTGAAAGCTGTGGAGGTCGTCAACCTGTCTGTGTCTTGTACTGCCACGTGTCTCCCTTTCTCGTCTGTGCCCAAGGAGACCCCTGCCAGGGCTGGATTCGCCGCCAAACAGACCCCACTGCCCATCACTCATCAACCTCTGGGTTCCTTTGGAGTTGTCTCCACTCATTGCAGCAAGTTGGAGGAAGAAGTCAGTGAGAGGATGTTTAGGTGAGCTTGCTGATGGCTTACCCACTGCAGCACAGATATAGATTTGCCCACATATTTCTCAATTCCATGCATCCATTGAGATAGGAGTTATTTCCTGATGTGGATAACGTAATATACTTATATCAGACAAGTCAGAGATACAAAATAGTGTATGTCAATGCTCTCAGTAAGCCCATCTCTCAAATGCAGCCACTGCATAAGTTCTCTACAACTTTTTTCTATGTACATCTCTAAATAGTCTTCTTATGCAAAAATTGGACAATTCTGTACAAACTCTAAGGTTTTTTTTCAACTTTAGTGTATTGGGAACATTTCTGTATTTATAGATTTATTTTTGCAGTATTATTTTAACATTTAAACAATATTCTGTTGTCTAGGTATACCATAATTTACTAAAAAACTCCTTTAGAGATGGGCATTTAAGGTTTTAGTTTTGGTCTTTATTATGATAAACAGTTCTCTTATAACTGTCACCCTACCTCTGTCTTGGCACGTAGAGAGGGCAGTTCATTAAGAGCGTTTGGGGAAATTTCATCAGATTTGGCTTCTGAGCCCCTTTGCGCAATTCCTACATTCATCGTCCCTTGTGCGATGCCCAAATCCATCCCCGTATCCTCACGTTGGGTTTATATTCATAGTGCTCCCTCATCTACAAACTATATATTTGATTAAGTATATTATGGAATCCTTTTATTTCTCTTCTGCAAAATGCTGGAGAGTTACATATTAATGATCTCTATGAAAGAGATTGCACAGGCAGGTAAACTTTGGATCCCTTGATTTAAAAAGGACATTAAGTACCTATTATGCTCACATCGCCAGTTTAACAAATAGAGAACAAGTGTTACCCAATGCCTGTCTGTGTTGTCCTGGCTGGTACCTTACTTCCAGCCTAACAGGGAGACAGAAAGATGAGGGAACTGAGCCAGGATAAGGACCCCTTCTGGCTGGGAGTAGTGAGTGTGCATAGAGACAGTGGCCAGGGGAAACTTTAGACATGACTACAGGGCAAATATGAGACCCGTAGTGATGATGATGGTGGTGGTGATGATGTGATGGTGATGATTGTGTTAAGTCTGGTAATAGATCAATTGTTTTCCTATTTAATCAGTTTTGAGTACTGTCCTACTAAGCATTTTGCGTATATCATTTAACACACAGAATAACTTTATGAATTAGATAATCATGTCTTCTCCTTTTACAAATGAGGAAATGAAATGCAGAGAGGTCAGGTGGTTGGTCCACAGCTAGTAAATGTCAAAGCTGAGATCCTGACCTTAGCAGTCAGACTACTGAGCCCATGCTCTTTACCACCACCTTGTCTGAGAGCTGGGCAAAGAATGCAATAACCCGGTGGGAAGGGCACTTCAGACAGGCCTCAGTGCACAAAGGCAGAGGAGTAAGCCAACTTACTTCACACAGGGAAGCATGAGCAGTGCATTCCCTTTGGAGGCTGGGAGACGCTGCTGGGAAGCAGGTGGAGTCCAAGCCCTTGGAGCCTTGGGGGCCACGTTAAGAAGCTTGCTCTTTGGGGAGATCTTTTTAAGGAGTTCATGGATCCTTGGAGCTGAAGGGAATCTTCTAGGTCCTGTTCCATGCAGGAAGCACATAGAAATCTGCAGAAACCAAACTAGTAACACTTTTCCCGGGAAGGTTTCCTCCCTCCTTGTTGAGAAAACGCTTCCCTCACCAGCACCTCCCGGGGCCTCACATCCTGCCTTTGCTGCTTGCAGACACTTCCTTGTACATGTGCATCATTCCCACGTCCCAGCTCAACTCATCTCCTGCTCAACACGGCATACACAGCATGGCTTCTGATTAATTAGTGTATTCTCCAGTTTTTATCAGGCCAAAGAAAAATTTAAAAAAGAACTGAAGATTGCTGGATTTCTGTACAGTGACTTATCTGTACTAGCTTCTGATATACCATATTTCCCACCAGAGGAAGAGGAAGAAAATTTGGAAGATGGGATTCACCTGGTAGTCTGTGTCCATGGCCTAGACGGTGAGTCCCCAAGAGGTTTCCTCCATAGAGTTCTGTACTAGAAACCATTTGTAATATTTATGAATTAATTTGAGTCAGGTGCTTGTTCATCAGTGTTATTAGCAGCCATGGAATGGTGACATGCTGGGTCTAGGGACATGGCATGGCCTTGTTCCCAAAGAGGAGATCTCTCTGACACAAAAATCTGTTGAGTAAAAGAAATACATAAATAGTGCAATAATGCAACCATGCAATAGTGCAATAAATAATGGAATGAATGAAGGAAGAAATGGAAGAAATAATTAATGGAACTAATGAACAAAAATAAAAGAAGGAATGGATGCATGGATGGATGGATGGATTGTTGGGATGAAAATATTAATGGGATGCATGAATAGTTATAATGTGTGGATTAATAGAACCTATGGGTCATTAGAATAAGGGGAGAAATACAGTGGATTCATTTTGAGGGGCTCAGGCTAGTGGCCCAACTATTTTGTTGCCTATTTTTATTCATTTCTCACTTAGAGTGCAATTTTTGTATACCTGACATCGTACCAAGTTCTGGGATTGCAGAGATGCAACATCGTTCCTGATCTTAAAAAGTTATTAATTTCGTAAGATTAGCAAATACGGTCCAAGGGAAGAGAAAAGGGAGGGGGAAAGGCTCCTTCTCTCCACCCTGCCCCCTAAATGACCTAGTCCCCAGTGTCAAGTCTCTTTAGGGTCTCTGAGGTCAGTCCAAAGGCTCTGTAAGATACAGAACTTACCAGCTCAGCCTGGGCCAAAGGCAAGAACTTGCTCCTGCCTCCCCTTGTGAATTTCAGCTCCTCCCTAGCTCGCTGAAGAAAGTGATCAGATCAGCTAGAAGTACAGGGTGTCTGAGTTCTCCTCAAGCTCAAGTCTGCATCACAACTGATCTGAAAACTGGAATGTGGAATATGATTTCTGGGAGAATCTTGACATCCGCTTTGTATGGACTCCAGTGCATAACTAGTGTCAGACAAGGGAAGGGACTTCCCTGGGGCTGCATAGGTGACGAGTGGCAAAACCCGTGGTCACAGTCTTCTGCCGACGACGTATTAGGGAGTGGTCATGTGCTATCCTACCCGGACATGCTCTTCTTTATACGCTTAATTCTCAACCTGGAGGCTAATGCATTTAGTTGTCTGCCCCTATGCCTTAGATACCAGGACACTCAGTCTAACGGGTCTATTTAGCGAAGTGTTGAATAATCCAGTGGTAAACAATACATTATAGAGGAGGAGGGGAAGGAAGAGGAGGGGAAGGAGGAAGAAGAAGGGGAGCAGGAGGAAGTGGAGGAGGAGGGGAAGATGGGGAAGAAGAGAGGGAGGAAGTGGAGGAAAAAGGAGGGGGAGGGAGAGGAGGGGGAGGAGAAAGGGAGGAGGCGCAGCAGCATTGGTTCGTCACTCACCAGGGGCCGGGCCCCCTTCTAGATACTTAACACTTACTAATGTCGCTGATCATCACAACAGCCCTGCAGAGTAGGTGTTGTTATTGTCCCATGATAACTGGGGAAACTGAGTCAGAGGGCAGGTAAGTAACGTGTATAAGTTCCCACAGTTAATGTGGTTGAGCCAAGGCTAAAGCCCCATGGAGATGTCAGTCTCCGGAGCCCATGATCTTCTGCATTGTGCCAACAAGTTCCTCTCCTCCCCTCTCCAAACGTTCGTTCCTGTCGCTGTTTATCTTTTAAAAAGACCTGGTCAAGGGGCACAGTTGGTTAAGCATCCAACTCCTGATTTAGGCTCAGGTCAGGATCTCATGGTCTGTGGGATCGAGCCCCACATCTGGCTCAGCATTGACAGCATGGATCCTGCTGAGGATCCCCCACCCCCCCAAATAAATAAATAGAAATAAATAAATAGAAATTTAGGCCCGTCCATTACTGAAAACTTTTCTTTGTAGCTCTCAGAAACTAAAACTCCTGTCTTAGAAAGCTCCTAGCAAGCAAAGCTCTTTATATTCCTCCCCTCCCCACTCTCAGCTCCTGCAATTGCATCAACTCCCTGCCCTTCACAGGGATGTAAGCCACCCCAGACCACTGTGTCTGGTCACCCAGTGCTGTGTCCCCACTCAGTGCTGACGTCAGCACTTCCCAAATCCCAGCCCTTCACATACCTGACCCCAGTTTTACTCCACCGGGGTACCTTGTACTATGATTCCAAAATCTGTACTGAAGTCGGTGTATTTTTTAATACATTTATTTTTAAAAAAAGAAACTTCAGATGTGACCACAAATGAAATACTAGAATCACTTGCCACACAGGAAGAGTCACGCTAAAACTAAAACAGTGAAACGAAACTCATCATACTGCAGCTTGACTGGCCCCACTGTCAGAAGACTATGCTTGAGGCTCACGTTTGTCTCTTAAAAAGTAAGAAGCTACTGAAGATGGACTTGTGTTTAGGGGAGACTTCCAATCAGAAGGGCTGCAGACACAGAATGGCCGTCTCACTCCTCAGCATGATGTGACACGGAGCTGCGGACAGCTTAGCATCCTGTCGTGCATGCCTGCATGGCCCTCTTCTCTCATAGTCAATGAAAATGAGAAAGACCCTCAATCTCTTCCTTAAAATGAGGAAGCTTGTCAAGCCATGGGCTTTCATTTTTTCCCCCACCACACATGTCAGAGAAGGAGCAGAGAACTTCATCACTGAACTATGTCAGAAATCTGTGCCGTCAAGTCCGGCCTTGTCACCTGGGCAGAAAGTCATCAGAAGGACAAGTAATATCACACACAGGTGGTTTTTTTGTTGTTGTTGTTTTAATTTTGTTTTTCTTTTAAGGGGGAGAGAGAGGGAGAGTGTGGGCAAGGGAGGAGCAGAAGCGGGGGAGAGAGAGAGAGGGAAAGAATCTCAAGCAGACTCCAAACTCAGCGCAGGGCCATACACAGGGCTCGATTCCACAGCCCTGATATCATGACCGGAGCCGAAATCCAGAACTGGACACTCAACCAACTGAGCCACCCAGAGGCCCCCCATACAGGTTTCTTTTGCAGTTTCTTCTTCAGCTCCAGGTACATATGTCCAGACTCTACAGAGTTGTACAGGACCCATTTGTTCAAATTTCACTTCCCAGGATATGTTTATATCAACAAGGAATGGAAGAAGTTGATAAGAGCCATGAGTATTCACATAACTCTTCAGGATGTTCCCCCAATGCCTGGGAGCCGTAGGCTGGTAAATGCCCTCAGTGAAACACCTTGTCCAATCATATTTTCTGAGAAAGTTCTGAGTTGCAGGGAGGTCTCTGTCTCCCAGCGGCTGAAGGAGAGGGGACATTATCATCCCTTATTTAGACTCTTCCTGCTAACTATATACACCTGCTACTTTTCTTCGTTAAGGCCTGGAATGTCAATAGGTAGCTTTAACTAAGAAGGACAACAGGACCAAAGAGCCTAATTTTATTATCAGAAATGAACGGGAAGAGGGGCGCCAGGGTGGCCGATTAGCTCCGCTGTATCACTGATGGTTTATAAACTACGTTGAAACTCTGGTTAAATGGTAAAGTAGGCCACCTATCTGTCCACTGACTCGCTTCTGACGTTCGATTCTGCAGGGGTCCACTGCAGGAATAGGTCAAAAGTCCACTAAGATGCAATTGAACCCCATTGCCTGCATGAAATCTGCACCCCAAAATACTCGGATATGAAGCTTATTCTGTTCTATCAGAATGTTCTCCATGTGATTTTTATGTCAGGTGCTACAAGGCTGTGCCTCAGTTTTCTAAGCTGTCATCCCTCTGTCCCCGTGGTCACTGTGGACCAGATGGAGGCCCTGAAAGCTGGCACTTGCACGACCCCTGTTCCCAAGGACGATTCTTACCCTATTGCAGATAGAACTAGGTCCTGACTGGCCCGTCCGAGGGACTTGCTGGCTGTAAGTGACAAAACTAGACTTTGTATGAAGCAGGAACTTGCAGAAGGGACATGTAGATGTCATCTCCTGTCACATCAGCCAGCAAGTGGCACCCCTTGCAGTGAACAGAATGGACTGTAGAAAAGAAGGCAGTGGTGTGCCTGTGACCACACTGTGTGTGGAATGTTCATGAGCCACACGGTTGTGGATCAGGGAGTGGGTCTCCTGAGGTAGGACTGCTAAGAGCCTGTGACCTTGTGTTGGCAGAGGCGGGGGGGAAGGGGAAGCACAGAACCTCTGGGGTGGACTTGTTTTAGTTTTTATTATCTGCTTAACGAAAAAAAAAATATGGGACATGGGGGGGATCGGAAAAGAGGGAGGAGCTAAAGTTCTTGTGTGTCAGTTTTGATATGAGTAACTATGGGTCTGGGGTGGGGGTGTCTGTCGTTTTTAGGCAACAGTGCAGACCTCCGCCTGGTGAAGACGTTCATAGAGCTGGGACTTCCTGGAGGAAAGCTGGACTTCCTAATGTCCGAAAAGAATCAGGTAGGACCCAAAAGAAAAGTCAGAACTAAAAGAACCCCTGAGTCATGTCTTCTGTGAACCCCCTATGTCACCCGATAGTTTGAGGATGCTCAGATAGAAGGGGCCCCGGCAGAGAACCCTGGCCAGGTGCTCGGATGGCCTGGAAAGCAAAGACTCATTGTTTCCTTTTGGAGGAAGGAAATAGTAAGAGGTGGAAAGATGTCAGTCAGGTGCCTGGGGCCTTTGGCCACAGGGCATTAGTGTGGGTGACAGCTGAGGGCAGAAGTGATGGGGGTGTCCCCGGGTCTCTACTGGGTGAAGGGGGCTGTCACAGGCATAATTAAGCCCCTGCGATGCAGCCCCCAAGGCAGAGGGATTTGACCGGCATACCACAGGGCTTTTGGACTGGATCTACACAGAAGTAATGAACTGGTGCGTGTGTCGGGGGTGCTCACTCAGGAATGATTATGTTCTGTGACATGTCATTTCTTAAAAGTTGTAAATCTCCTAAGCACGTGGATTTCCAGTACATCCCTTCAGAAGTACCCTGGTTAGGGGCACCTGGGTGGCTCAATTGGTTAAGCCTCCAACTCTTGATTTCGTCTCAGGCCATGATCTCACGGTTCGTGAGTTCGAGCCCCCACATCAGGCTCTGCACTGACAGTGTGGAGCCTGCTTGGGATTCTCTCTCTCCCTCTCTGCCCCTCTCCTGCTCTCTTGCTTGCTCTCTCTCAAAATAAATAAAGTTTTTTAAAAGATTAAAAGGGGCCCCTGGGTGGCTCAGTCGGTTGAGCGTCCGACTTCGGCTCAGGTCATGATCTCACAGTTCGTGGGTTTGAGCCCCGCATCGGGCTCTGTGCTGACAGCTCAGAGCCTGGAGCCTGTTTCAGATTCTGTGTCTCCCTCTCTCTCTGACCCTCCCCTACTCACACTGTCTCTCTCTCTCTCTCTCTCAGAAATAAATAAAACATTTAAATAAATAAATAAATAATAGAAAGCTTAAAAAATAAACGAAGGAAAGCGCCCTATTTGGAGAGTTCCTGGTACCATTTTCTAAACCTCCTGTGTCCTCCAGAACTTTTCTCCTCAAAGTCAACTCAGCCCTCATAGTTGCTGCCATTTATTCAATAACCCCTGTTAAATTAACAGTACGCAGCTGAGGAAACGGGGTCTGGAAGGCTGGAGGGTCATAGGAGCATCTGTCGTAACTGTGATGCGAGTAGCTTACCGAGTCCTTACTCTGCTGCGAAGGAGTGGGCTGCGTGATCTGCCCGCAGGACTTGGGAGGAGACAGGTTTGCGCTGGGGAAGAGCAGCCCCGGGCTCAGGGCCTGCACACAGGGAGCCGGCCTGCACACATGGTTCTCTCCCTCTCTGACACTAAGACACTGACTGAGTGCTTCATCCCTCCAGAGCCTCAGGGGCCATTGAATGGCAGGTGACTGTGAGCCACTCCCTCTTCTTCCCCACCCTGGTGAATACTCATCAGATCTGTTGTTCACCTTTGTAGCTTGGTGCGCAGCGCAGTTGCTGGGAGCCCATGACACCGGGGAACAGCTCCGTTAGCGAGAAACTGTCTTTTATGTTGACCCCAGATCTCCCTCCCTGTAGTTCCCATGTGTTTCCGAAAGTTCATCTTTGAAGTTACATAAACCAACCTAGCCTGTCTTCCCCATGTCTGCCCTTGAAGATTTTCAAAGACACATGAGGTGTCTCTTCCTTTGATGCCTGTATCCTCTGACCATCCATTAGGAGTCACGAGGGCTTGGGACCCTTCCCTGGACGTGGCCTGGGAGTGTGGTGTCAAGGCTGATCTGGGGAAGGAGCAGGGTGTCGGGGCCAGGCAGGCTTGGGTGTGTGTCCTGGGGGCACGGGACCACCCTGGGAGCCTGTTTCCTCACGGTGCAGTGGGGCAGGTGGTTAGTGGGCACGGGCAGAGCCTGGCACATGATGTGGCAGTAGGGGCTGTGAACACAGCTTCCCGAGTCTCTTCCTTAGAGCCCCAGTCTGCGGGCCCCTTTCCCTGGTGCCGAACCCCACTCTGTAACCCCAGCGTCAGGTTCAGGCACATTCCCAGGATGGCGGCCTTGTGCACAGACTCCACCCAACAGCCGTTCCCTCTCTCCTCTTCCAGATGGACACATTTGCAGATTTTGATACCATGACTGACCGATTATTGGATGAAATCATTCAGCACATCCAGCTGTACAACCTCTCCATATCCCGAATTAGGTAAAAGGAAATCACAGGTAGTTAATGCTGGGGGAAGAGGGGTGACGTTTCTGGATGTTGGCTGTATGCAAGCTCGGTGTGCTGTGTTCTGTCTGCCACCTTGATAGGCTGACTTGTGACTTCCTGGGCTAGATGACTTCCAGAGCAGAAGCCAGTGGGGGAGAAGAACCATTCGGTAGCTCGGTAGGAAGGGAACTGGGCTCCAACAAAAATCCCTATAGGTTTGAACCGCTGTTCTTTGAGCACTCACACATCCGAGTACCGACTCGGCCATGCAGCCTCTTGCAAGCTTCCTAAATCTCTGAGCCTCCATTTCCCCACCTGCGGGATGGGGACCAGTGCCAGCATCATGTGGCGCAGAGCGGAATACATCACCTGCCCGGTGGGAGGTTTCAGTCCGTGCCCATTCTGTCCTTCCGCTGCTGCAGCCGGCCTGCCTGAAATGTTTCACGATGAAGGTGATGGAAGTTGGCTTGTGTCTTTGTGCACTTGCAATATGTGGACATAGTGGTGCCTCCTTCCACGTGCAGTAGCCCACGGAGGCCCCAGAGATAAAATATCACTTCTTCATTTCCCAATAGGAGTCACAGGCCTGTAGCGAGGAGGTGCAAATCACTGGCCACAGGCTAGGGGAAGCAGTTTCATAGACAACCATTCATTTCCTGACATGGCCTGTTTTAGGGTCCCCATGAGCAGAGGTAGGGCGCTATATGCCGCTCGTGTGCTAGCGTTTCGATCCACAGGTATTCAGTTTGACGATAGCCATGTGTTGGGTCCACAGATGTGCGAGTGGTCGTGTGACTGGAGCCGGGCGTGTAGGAGGGTCTCAGACGGCATGGGCCGACAGCGGGCAATTCAATAAATGTGTAATGACAGTGAGCAAGGAGTAACTTGCAGAGCCCATCAGAAGTCAGGTCGTGAATGGCCTCATAAGCCAGGCCAGGGAAGTAGGGTTTCGTCCTCTGAATGAGCAGACTGGCTTAGGGCCCAGATGTGTATTTCAGAAAGCACCCCGGGGGGCCGGGAAGGAGACACAGAGAGCAGACAGGGCTGCTGTAATATCACGGAGCCGGCCACACACCCGCGCTTCTGACCACACTACGCAATGGAGGCCTCGCTCCCAAGGTCTCCACTTCAGGCTCACTGTGGCCAGAGTCTGGAAACCCAGTGAGGATGGGTTAGCAGCCCCCATTCTCTTTGCCCGTTCCCCCGAATTGGGGTGAGGAGGGAGGAGGACCCCAGGCCCCGTGGGGCTGCCCGCTGAGCCCCTGGCCTCTCGCAGCCACGCTCACACGCCGTTTCTGTCCTAACAGCTTCATCGGCCATTCCCTCGGCAACATCATCATCCGGTCAGTCCTGACGCGGCCCCGGTTCCGGTATTACCTCAACAAACTGCACACGTTCCTGTCGCTGTCTGGGCCTCACCTGGGGACCCTGTACAACAACAGCACGCTGGTTAGTACAGGTAAGACTTCCCCAAGCCCCGTCACCCCTCACCATCCATTCGGAGCAGAGGGAAGATGAAAACAGAAGCAGATGTTCTCTTTGGTGGAGTCTGGCGGCTCCAGAGCCTCTTCACGCATGGGATACCGAGCAAGGACTTTGGCCTCAGAGAGAGGGGCTCTCATTTGTGAGTCGAGTGAGGTCAGACTAGATGTCCCCCAAGACCTCATCTGTGAACAGAAGGGTGGTGCCCTCGGGTCGTGGCTGGAAGAGACTGAGGCACAGAGTGTGGAGGAGGGGCAGGGGGTCTTGGCCTGTCCCGGCTGTGGTAACACATCCTCACAGACCGGGTGACTTGTAAATGGAAGTGTATGCCTCAACCTGGAGGCTGCAAGTCCTAGACCGAGGTGCAGGCAGATTCAGTGCCCAGCGAGGCCCTGCTTCCTGCCTCAGAAGGGTGGTGCCTTCTTTCAAACTTAGCAACGGGCTTTGAATCATCTACTTCCACGGCGAGCTTGCCGCCGAGCTCTGAGCCAGACACTGAGGGACGGCTCTGGCCAAGACATTTTAATCTCTATGCTATTCAGTTTCCTTCCTCTTCAGAAAAATGTTTATCTACTTTTGAAAGAGAGAGAGAGAGAGAGGAAGCATGAGCAAGGGAGGGGCAGAGAGTGAGGGAGACACAGAATCTGAAGCAGGCTCCAGGCTCTGAGCTGTCACTGCAGAGCCCAATGCTGGGCTCGAACTCATGAGCAGCAGGATCATGACCTGAGCCGAAGTCGGATGCTTAACCGACTGAGCTACCCAGGCGCCCCGTCCTTACTTTATAAAATGGGTCTAGCTGTGTACGTATGTCTGTGTGTCTATGGATACATTTATGTATGGATGCATTTGTGACGTGGATACATTTATGATATAACTATATATGTCTGTGTGTACATACACATGTTTGTAAACACATGTATCATATCTGTGTGTGTGCACTGGTGTGTGTGTATCAGAATTGTTGAGGATTAAGCAGGAGAAGGAAAGAAGAATCTGACTAACGTATACAGGTGTCAACCGTGGCCGGGTTCCATACTTCTCACTGGAACAGAATGGCACAGCCCGCAGCTTTAAGGCTCCCACAGTTTCCTCTGTACTGTCGGGTTGGGGACACCACAGAGGGTAAAGAAGCAAGGCTCAATGAATCTTGAACAATGAGTAGAATTTCCAAGGCAGTGAACGGTGGGATACATTTTTTGGTGCGGAAGAAATAGTCTGTGTAATAGCACGGAAGCATGGCATAATCAGCAAAGGACAGAAATACCAGATGACCCAGAGGGGCAGGAGATGACAGTGACACTCTCAGCAAAACTCTGATGATGAAAGGCCCCGGGTGACGTGATGGGGTTGGACTGACCAGCATGTCGCATGGATACTCCCCAGGGGCTGGTGACTGTGGAGCCCAGGGAGGGCCTCAGGTCCCGTATAATAACAACAAATTATTAAATCGTACCCCTAACAAGGACTTCAGTGGTCCCCAATTGCCCAAATCCATTAGGTGGCACCTGGGCGACCCCTAGGTGCTCTGCTCCCTGCCCGGCTCCCAGCCCCCGCCTCTGCTCCCCTGACCTGCCTGACTCTCAGGGCAGACTGTGCTGCTGACCTTCCTCACAGACGGGGCAGACTGGTTTGTCTGCCTTTACGTTACTTGGAGGGCGTTACTGGAAATGATTGTGACAAACAGAAGGCCACTCCTTTGCTGTTCTCTCTGTCCTCACAAACCAAGGAAGCCATCTTTGGATAGAAACAAGTGATTTAAACCACATTTCACTTTTTTCACAATTACAGTATTGCAACATGACGAAAAGAACTACATTGTATTCGTTCCCTTGCATTTTTATCCAACTTGCTTTTGCCGTGGTGACGTAATAATACCCATCAGCGTTAGTGCCAGCGTAACCGAGGTCAGGGATAGACTCTGAAATGGAAGCCCGCTTTCAGTTTTTATGTGCGCTACCTGGATCTGTAAGGACCATTCCTTCATACGGCTTTGTGTTCGGGATTATTTCCTTCGGCTACATTTGTGGGAGGAGGTCGAATGGGTCAAAGGACATGGAAGTGTCAGGACTCCCCAAGCCGATCACCGCATCATTTTGCAGGATAATTGTATCACCCCGCCACAGGTACCTGAGAAAAAATTTCCTATAACTTCCCAAGGATTTACCAAAATGCCTACTTCCCTCTTATTTTAAAATTCACTAAAAGCCAGTTTCACGTTAATCCCTCCCCAATTATTATTGTTTTGCTGTCTTTACCTTCTATTTCTCATTTTTCTTTTGCTGCGTTTTTGTCTTTCTAGGCTTGTGGCTCATGCAGAAATTAAAGAAATCTGGGTCCCTTCTGCAGCTGACCTTCAGGGATAATGCTGATCTGCGCAAATGTTTCCTCTACCAACTCAGCCAGAAAACAGGTGAGGGCCTTCCTCCTCCACAGCAAGTGTGGTCACGAGTGTGAGCTGGAGGTCCGCCGTGAGGCCCCAGATGGCTTCTCCGCTGCGTCAGTGTGCTCGGGGAAGGGCATAGTCAGGTCCAGCACACACAGCCTCTTCAGATCCCAGGGAGCCCGACCACGACTCACAAACTCAGCTGCTCCCAAGAAAGGGCGTCAGAGACGCAGCCGAGGTGTGCGTAGGGTTCCTCTGCACACACAGCAGCCCCGGCTGCTCCTTCTGCCGACCTTTCCGAGCCCTGATCACAGGCCCTGGGTCTGCGTGCCCACTCACTGCTCCTTCCCAGGTAGGGACGCCCCCTCCCCACAGAAAGGGCAGGTAAGCGCTCCCCGTTCAGGTGGGCAGTGCAGGGGGAGACGGGAGTCTTTCCCAGGCAGGGCTGAAGTCGCAAGTCCACCCACAGTGCACCAGCAGGTTCACAGAGCCGTTGGAAGCCCTGCCTGCGTTGCGGGAACGAGCAGGGGACAGCAGTGGTCTGTGTGTCCAGTGAGGAGGCGGAGAGGTGACCGGGTGGCCTGCTCTGTCCTGCTGGGCAAGCCGGCCTGGCGCAGCCTCTCTGTGTCCCCCCTCCGTGGTCCTGTGGGCCCGCCCCCGGGGGCATCTCTGCACCTGTCGGAGTGAGTCCGGCGTGGCCGCCGCCTGGCGTGGGACCCTGGGCGAGCCCTATGCGCTGCGTGTCCGTGCCACGTTGAGCTTTCAGGATCCCCTCCCCCCAAGGGGGCAGGGAGGGAGAGGGGAAGCTGGACGACAGCGTGGGCCGCACAGGGAGCTGGGCTGACCCTGCAGAGCTGTCCCGAGTGGGGCAAGCGGCTGGTCCTCACAGTCCCGCCCTGCATCCTCCGGCTGTGATCTTGGGATGAGAGGCCCCACCTTGCTGGAGGGGCGAGGGCTGAGGGCCTAGGGGGCGCAGCGCAGTGTCTGCAGGCCCGTGCTGGGCTCTGAGGACGAAGGGACTCGCTGTGTGGTCCGGCCCCTCTGTCCCAGGCCGGAGCCTGGCTGCAGGCAGGGAGGTGCGTTCAGAGGCCATCTTCCTCCTGCGGGTGCCCGGGCGAGCCTGCAGGTAGGAGCTGCCCCGCTGAGAAGCAGGAGCGGACCCTGCCTTTCGTCCTCACGGACTCAGAGCCGGCCGCCCAGAGAGACTCCCTGTCACCCGCCTGCAGCTCCCCTTCCCCCCTCGAGAGCAGCTCGCTCCGGCTCTGCGGCTGATGGGACAGCAGTGCCACAGCAGCCCTTCCCGCTCCCCGCCCTCGGGGGCAGGTTTGCGCAGCGTGTGTGAGGCGGGAGGCAGCGGGAGCCGCCTGGTGAGAGGCATTCTCCCCGGCCTCTTGCAGGTCTGCAGTATTTTAAAAACGTCGTGCTGGTGGCTTCTCCCCAAGATCGCTATGTGCCGTTCCATTCAGCCCGGATCGAAATGTGCAAAACTGCCCTCAAAGACAGACACACGGGTAAGCCACGTTTAAATTTTTTAACCAAATTTCTGATTATTTTTTATATGGCCTTTTTTTTTTTTTGAAAGAGAAAGGGCACAAGTGAGTGAGGGGCAGAGAGAGAGAGAAGTGGAGCTCGAGCTCACAAACCGTGAGATCATGACCTGAGCTGCAGTCAGATGCTTAACCCACTGAGCCACCCAGGCGTCCCCCTGACTTTCTGATGTAAAAAGCGCAAGTAAATGCATGACATGGACAACGCCTGCGAGGGCACCTGGGATGTTCCCCCCACGGGGACGGGGGACCCAGCACGCCCAGGGTTTTTCTCCAGATCCCACTGGCCGGTCCTGCCCCGCCTGCAGCTCCCTCTCCCCTCCTCCCAGGGCCCGTGTACGCGGAGATGATCAACAACCTGCTGCGCCCTCTGGTCGAGGCCAAGGACTGCACTTTGATCCGGCACAACGTGTTCCACGCCTTGCCCAACACTGCCAACACCCTGATTGGCCGCGCCGCCCACATCGCCGTGCTGGACTCCGAGCTCTTCCTGGAGAAGTTCTTCCTGGTGGCGGGGCTCAACTACTTCAAGTAGCGGCCGGGGCCTCGCCGGAAGCTTGGCGATCCGCGAGAGCTGAGACATCCTTGTGGAGCCGTTCGCCACTCCAGGCGGAGCTCGGAGAGGAAGGCACTGAGGCAAGGAGGGTGGGGTGGGGCCGGCCATTCGAGGTGCTTCCATTTCCGAGATTTGGGAAAGCCGAACCAGTCCAGTCACGCAAAAGACAAGACTTTGCCCGAACCTGTTTAGCCACATGGAGTCTCCTTCGAGACATGGAAAGAAAAATGTGACAAAATAAAGCAACAGAATGCCTGGGATTGGTGAGCCCACCTTTTTACCCACCACTGGCTCACAGAGAGATCGCTCTAGTTTTACTAGGTTTGTCCATTGTGTTCCTAGCTCATAGCTTTATCATTCTGATTCAATTAAGTGCATACAAGCATTTCAGAACTCAGGTTAACCTCTGTGCAGAAGTGGAACATATTTGTGTAAATATAATCCTCAATAGATTCACATGTGCCACTCGTTCACGACAGTGTGATGCCCACGCGATCATTTTCTCCTCATGTTTTCTCAACAAGGGGCAAAGGAATGCTTTATAAACTCAGATTCTGTTTCATGAGCAGCAGCGGGTGGCGTGATGTAAGGTATGGGGTGGGGGGATGGAGGCGATGCTCTTGGTAAATGCAGGTTTGTTACAAAGAGAAGTAACCAGAGGGGACGTGGTGAACTCATTGCTTCAACTACTTCTCCAGACTGTCTATGCAGAGCCCTGGCCCACAGATTACTTTTGCGATTGCTTAAATCTCTGTCTGTAGTCAGGAAAGTGGACTTTGAGAAAATCTAAGGGGTGAAGCAGAAGCGCGTAAGGCTCCTGCTGATACTCTTCCAAAGAAATGCTATGTTAGCATTTGATGCAATTGCAAAAAAAAAACAAAAACAAAAAAAACAAAAAACAAAAACAAAAACAAAAAGAAAACAAATGAAACCATTAACATGGCCAGCGGCTTCTCCTCTCCATGGAAGGAGAAACATCTAAACGAGGAGTGCTGGATTACAAACCTCAGGGGAGCTCCAAGAAGGTGCTGGTTATCTTCCAATAGAAATGTCTTCTTGCCTTAGGAAAATAAAGGGCTAGGAGAGGTCAGCATCAATAACAACCAACAGACAGCAGGGACAACAGTGAGATCAGAGAGGAAAACAACAGTCAGATCGCGGACCCAGCTTAGATAGTTACTGGCGAATGACTTAAGGGAAGTTTTGAAAATTACCAGGATGTTTGATATGGTCCCGTAGACTGAGTACACTCTTGGCCTAAAGGAAGGCTGGAGAATCGCCTCATCATACTCAAGGAGCGCATGGACCAGGTCAGTAGGGGCCACTAACCCAGGAGACCCATCACCAGGAGGCAGAAGCTCCTATTTCTGCACAATCCCCCTGTAAAGTGTGGAGAATCATCTGTGACCAGATCCCTGGTCCAGCACCTGGACCATGACCTTAGGCCACCAGTGCCATGGTCCTAAAACCAAGCAAATCTTGGCTCATCTGAGAATTTTAGCCCTCACACATTAACGGTGTGACCTTGCCAAACAAACGCAGACCGAGAAACCAGTGTGGGTGGGCCGCTTTGCGGTTGATAGGCTCCTGGGTTCCTTGTGAAAGGAGAAGGTGGAGGGGTGGAGTTGAATGAGCCACAAAGGCAGACTTTTGCACAACCGGGGTAGGGTTTCTCTGCGGGTCTTCTGCACACTTTCATTGTGTCCCAGGCTTAGGGAGGATGTGGGATCAGTAAGTCCTGAGGGCATTTTTCCAAGTTCCCAGTGTCCGTAGACTGTGGGTACTCCCGAGCGGCGCTGATCCGATGTCTAACCCAGAAAGAATGGAGCCCATGATGTTGTGCTTCCTGGTCTAGACAAGTGTTTGTGCTCAGTGTGGGACTGTACATTTGTAACAGCTTCTCCTTTTTGGCCAAACGAGGAGCCCCTCCGATGAGAGCATTCCATTTTGTGTTTCTGACACCCATCAGCAAAGCTTGTCACTCTCTGGTCATTTGGAAGACCGTGTAGCCCACGGCGATGGAGCTGAGTAAATCTGATGACCATCGTCTTTTCCAATAGCCAGATGCCACTTTTAACTTCAATATGCTGTCTGGACATGGTGAGAACTAATGGCAATAAATGTCCAGCTGCATGGCACACCCCTCTTTTATAGGGGTGCTCTGCTGTCTTTGTAAGCCCTCTCTGGCCTCTGAGCATCTATTATATTGTGTAGAAATTACATCTCTATATTGTAAATAAGAGTGTCTAGTGTCGCGTGTCATGCCTCATTTGAAAAGGCTTTTTTATGTCTCTTTCTATTGAAGTATAGATATCTAATATATATATACATAAATATATATATAATGTAAAACAGGGACATTATATTATTTATTATAAAAATTATAAACAAAATGCCTGCCAAGATAATGGTCTAGTATGTTTTCATTCTCAGTGTAATTTACGATTTTTTGTTTTTACGATTTGTTGAGTTCCTCAGAAGTTGTTAGAAATAAACATCGCTATTCTCTCGAGATTAATGGGAATCGGTTGCTCACAAGCCAAATACATCCAAGAAGCAGATGCGAAGCTAAAGTCACCGGGGGGTGGGACTAATACCTCGACGGCAGGTTGAAAGCTCTGGAGAACTGTGAGCCCCGGGGAGAAGGAGGAGAGAGGAAGGGCTCCTGCTGGTACCCACAGTCCCCAGGCGGGTGCAGAGTGGCTTCCTGCCATGCCAGAGGGGAGCAGGGATAGAAGGCACGGTCCCTGCCCCCCGAGAACACAGCCTCTTTATGACAACCTGATAGAGAGAAGGTGAGGCACCGGCCAGTGCGAGGCAGTGCTGAAGGGCCGGTCTTCACGGCCTGGAGAAGGCTGTGAGTGAGATACTTGCTTTGCACAGCTGGTCACCGCCAAGGGCACTCCTTCATCAGTTCGTTCATTCATTCATTCATCAGTTCATTCATTCATTCATTCATTCATTCATTCATTCAGCAAGTATGTTTGAGGGCCTCCTGTGCTAGGAGGTGCAGGAAGGGTTGAGCAGCTCATAGTCTGCTCAGATGGGAAGGGGATGTAGGTGGGCACCATCCAGGGGTAGGGATCAGTGTGTGCTCAGAGGAGGGACACCTAGCCCACCCTGGAGAGGTGCGGGGTCAGGAACAGCCTCGTGCAAGATAGGATGTCTAAGCCCAGACACAGGGCTGAGTAAGGCTTGGCCTGGGGAAGTGGGTTGCAGGGAACCCCCGGGAACCACCCCGGGCAGGGAACGGAATGACCGAAAGGCTTGAGGAGAGAGGGCCAGGACCTTCCCCGCACAGGACGGGCTGATGGAGGCTGTCTGGGTATCAGAGTGACCGAGCAGGGGCGTGAGCAGTCAGCCACCACGCCAGACTCTCTTCTCCTTCAGGAGGAAGTTCCCGTTGCTAACACTAGTGGGAGAGTTTCCTCTCAGAAGCCTGGGTTCTCTCAAATCCCTGTGTTCATGTCCTTCTCCCGGGCTAGCTCCTCAGACAGACCCAACCCTCCGTCTTGCAGGAAGCCCAGGGCCACGTCTGCTCGCCCCAACTCACTTCAGAAGATACAGCACACGTGTCTTCCCGGCTTCTCGTGGAGAAAAAGCTGGAGGGAATGGCAGTTGGTTAAAACCACTGTGATTATAGCATTACTGTTACTATTCTCTTCTTTTTTCTTTTTGTGCGTGGAAGCAATCGGGAGATTCCTGCACTGGGATTTGGGGTGACCACACTGACCACTCTTGATCATTGAGGGGTATTCTTTAAGTTTATTTGTTTGTTTTGAGATAGAGACAGAGACAGCATGAGTTGGGTGGGGGAGGTGGAGAGAGAGAATCCCAAGCAGGCTCCACACTGTCAGCACAGAGCCCAACAGGGGCTTGAACTCATGAAGCCTCGAGATCATGATCTGAGCCAAAACCAAGAGTCAGATGCTCAACCGACTGAGCCACCCGGGCTCCCTGATCATATGGTTTATGTGGGCGAGGAATTTACTTAGTCCTTCCTTTACAAGTGAGCAGTCTGCACCCCCACCAGCTTGAGGTGACTTGCTCAGAGCCACAGCCCCTCATTCAGTCACGGATATTGCCTAACAGCCATGCGAACCAGGCACAGGTCACAAAGCAAAAGCAAACAATGACACACAAAAAAGCAGCCCCTCCTGATGGAGTACATGTGAGAGTGGAGGGTAGAGCCCAGCAAGTCACAGGCATAGTGAGATGGCAAAGGCCAGTTTGGGAGGAGCCCACGGGGCTGGGGGCCACCAACACAGTATGTGAATGGGAAGGAAAAAAACCAGAAATAGCGTGCAACCCAGGTTTTTCTGTGAAGAATAAAAACATTGAAAAGTGCTAGGACATGACAGTGTCAGGGAGCCCTCACTTATGCAAGATGATGGCATCTTTCCAAGACATGCCTATGAACTGAAAGTCTGCTTGTGGGATGCCATTTGTTTGGTTTCATAGAGTAGATTTGTGAGCATCGGCGATAACCAGGGCTGCTGTGGACAGTTGCACAGGTTGTGTAAGAAAACATGGCAACGACACAGAGAGGGAGACTTGTGCTTTCTTGCGTTGTTCTCACAAGGCATCCATTCCAAGACCCTCAGGGAGGATGTGTGTCCATCTTTAACTGATGCAGCAAAGCAGCGTATGCTAATACCTGCATCCACTTTGTTTTTTCCCCCTATTTTTTCATTTGCTTACTCTTCCCATGCCTTATTGAGTACCTATTTTGTGCTGGGTACCCAACTAGACTATGGAGCTATTAACACAAATCATATAATCCTTTTTTTTTTTTTTAATGTTTTATTTATTTCTAGGAGAGAGAGAGAGACAGCGTGAGCAGGGGAGGGTCAGAGAGAGAGGGAGTCACAGACTGAAACAGGCTCCAGGCTCTGAGCTGGCAGTCAGCACAGAGCCCGACGCGGGGCTCGAACCCACGAACCGCGAGATCATGACCCAAGCGAAAGTCGGATGCTTAACTGACTAAGCCATCCGGGCGCCCCTCAAATCATATAATCCTAAACACTAAAAGGACCTAGGGGGAATAATAAAATTTAATGTTTTATTTTTCACTGTCAGTATTGAAATTAACGCCATGGGACTTCCAAAATTTGGAGGAGGAACAATGGATGTTTGCTCCAGACTCTGTCTGAAGGCTAGCATCCTGAGCTTTGAGCTTCCAGCCTCCACTTGTGCACAGGGGCCTCCATCCACGTGTCCCAAAGCAGGAATGAACTTCAGTGACATTACAAGTCTTTCTGTGTCCCTTCCTCTTTGCCTTTTTCTTTTGTTCTGTTACTTTTTCTTTACCTTTTTTTTGGGGGGAGAACTTTTTCCGTGGTACCTCAGCACTACACATAATGCTAGTGATGTCTGTATGGAAAGCACTGTTGAAAACCTAGAACAGCAAAGTCATTCCCTTTCCGCATCTTTTTGAGTGAATGGTAATAATACGC